TTATTTATGTAACTCTGTTTATGTATTTTTACACCATTGTATCTTATATATAAAATTCTCGTGTCACAATGTTAGTAACCATACTCCTCCGAAACGGCCTGACCGATTTTTATGAAATTTTATATGCTAGTCCGTGGTATAAGTGATAATGGTTGTCAACCTGTAACGTAGTGTTGTGAAACCTACACTGCGCCTTTGCGCCAAAATTCAAACCATTGGGTATTGTAACGTAGTGTTCTCATAGGGCTTAGGAGGAATGTTATCCCAGGAAATTGATAGAACACTACGTTACACACCCCTAAATTTTTTTATGGACAATTTTTTTTAATGTGTTGTAAAATATACATGCAACCCTAAATTTTCTCTTCTACCACCTGCTCCTTTTTTATGGCGGTACGAAGTTCGCTGGGTCAGCTGGTAATTTATATTTTTTACTCTAGCAATCTCGTCCCTGGCAGAATACCAGTGCTGTTATGGTGGGAATATTCCCTTCCTACTACAACAGCATTAAGCTGAGGCAGGGTCCTGATTGGCCTTTCTTCTCTCTCCATATTGTTGCTCTCTGTTTGTTTTTTATTTTTATTGCTATATTTATTGTTTTTTTTTTGCCTGCCTATGTGTAAGGTCAATAAAAGCTTTTTCTTTCTCTCTTTCAACAAGCGAATCTAAAACTTACATCTCAGCTACATTGTTTGCAAGTGTGGTTTAGAAAACCAATTTTGTCTAAAGTGGCTGCCAAATCATTTATTACTTGAAATTATGATTCTTAAACTACTAGTTGAAGTATGCGGTGAATAATAGAGTTTCATGCAAATTTTCATTCCCTTCAGTGCCGTCTTTGACCTATTGGAGGCCCTGGGCATATTACGATAATGGGGCGCCTATGACTTCCGTTTGGTGATTTAACAAGAACTAGGGTACTTTGTATTTGATCTGAGGGGGGCCCCTATCGATCGCGGGGCCCTGGACACTTGCCCAAAGTGCCCACTGGGAAAGACGGGGTCTGATTCCCTTTTTTAATCTTTTCCTTACTTATAAGAAAAGTTGTATTTAGTCCCGTCTGCTACCTGGTCCGCGTGGAATTTTTTCTAGTCATATTTTCTTTGGATTTAACATCAAGCAGTTACATGTTCTAAAAAATTATAAAAATTATAAGTTGTATTTAGGTTTGGTTTAATGCTATCTCCTGTCTTCTTATTAGCAATATTTATAAAGAATTCCACTTTGTTCAATGTAAATGCTAAGCGAAGTCGGAGCAGTCGGCTAGTTAAGTCTTCTTTGAGTATTAGCATTATCGATTATATTATCTTTCACAGAACCTTCTCGTGTTGCGCTGGAAATAATTGGATTATTATTATAGAAAAGTCTGAGCGACCTCGAATGATACTCACGGATTTATAATTAGGAATGTAAATTTTTTCTTGCAATTAGGTGACACATTTTTTATCCTCAGATGATCTCGTAGTCAAAAACAATATAAAGCACTATTTATCGCACGTTTACAATATTGCGATGTTTGCATTTTTTTTTGTTTACAAGGTATGTGTCTAATTTTAGAGTAAGGTGTTAATGACAGCGATATTTATGAAGTTATGTGAATAGAATAATATAGATGGCTTTCGGACAACTTTTTGTCTGTATGTCTTAAGTAGTACTATATAAATATTCCGACGACGTTGAACGTCAATAAATAAATAAAAACAGTGGGTCTAACCCGTTGAAACTTATTTTATTTATTAAGGTCTTAATTTAAACGTATTGGTCAAAGAGTTATGACAGTTCGATATGCAAACACATATAATTTTTTGTTTCTTAGGTTTTCACGCACATCACTCATTAAATAAAACTAGTTTTTACGGGTTAATGCACGAAACTTTATTTATTTATTGACGTATCGCAGCCTTTTCAGGTCTGCATCGTCAGAATAATGAATAATAATTTTAAATAAAAAATCATTATTCTGACGATGCAGACCTGAAAAGGCTGCGAAACGTCAATAAATAAATAAAGTTTCGTGCATTAACCCGTAAAAACTAGTTTTACATATAATTTTACTTGTTGCTATAGGCGGAAGAATATCTAGACTTTTTTTTAAGAATATGACACTATATCGTAATTCTGAATGCGCTGTTAGCAATATAGAAGCTAGAGAGCGTGAGGAAAAGAGACGGCTACATAGCCGACCATTCATTTGAAAATCACAAATAGGTTTTTATACAATCAGTATATAGTAAGTATAAACTGTCGAAAAATGAGACTACGTAATTTAAGTATGTTTTCGCATTTTTTTACGGAGCTTTGCGACATATTGACTTTTCAACGGTCTACACCTGACTGTGAACTAGGAAGTGCTTGATTGGAGTTCAAGCACTTCTTGATCGGGACACATTTTGATATCGTTGGACACAACCCATTAAAATTAAAAGATTGTTTAAAACTTGAGCAGCAAACTGCAAGCTACAAATAGTAGCGTATGCGCAGTTCCAAGATTTCCTTCATCTCCGTCTCAAAATTCATTGAAATTAGTTGAGCATCTTTGGGCTGACAGAGTAATTTAATGAATTGAATTTGTATTTTGGCTTGGAGGTAAAGGGCTAAAAGAGGGTTCCAAGTTTTTTTTGCAAATCGTACTTTTCAAGCGACATTTGACAGATAGAGGTCATTGGCTTTCCTATTCTTATTTGAATCGCATTATATGTGTCTAATTTTAAAGTAAGGTGTTAATGACAGCGATATTTATCAAGCTATGTGAATAGAATAATATAGATGGCTTTAGGACAACTTTTTGTCTGGCCTTAGAAAATGAGTTACATTCAGAGCGAAAATAAGATTGGAAGGTAATAATATATAATAGGTTCTTTATTAAATGATGCACGAAGCACGGAGGGGCTCGAGATAGTAAATTTATGGTCCCACCGACTATCCAATGACAGACCACTGCGAAAGTTGCTTATCTTCAACAATCGCAGCCGAATGCGCTATACCACTTGCGCCATCGAGCTCCTCCATTTTACGCACATCACTCATTAAATGACTGATTTTATTTATTTATTGACGTTTCGCATATATCCCGACGACGCATTCATTTAATGAGTGATGTGCGTAAAATGGAGGAGCTCGATGGCGCAAGTGGTATAGCTCATTCGGCTGCGATTGTTGAAGTTAAGCAACTTTCGCAGTGGTCTGTCATTGGATGGTTGGTGGGACCATAAATTTACTATCTCGAGCCCCTCCGTGCTTCGGAAGGCACGTTGAGCAGTTGGTCACGGCTGCATCTGCAGTCGTTAGCACCCACCAATCCGCACTGGGCCCGCGTGGTGGGTCATGGCCCAATCTCCCTATTCCATCCATAGGCCTGTGCCCCAGCAGTGGGGACTTTAATAGGCTGATGATGATAATGATGATGTGCGTAAAAACCTAAGAGACACATACCGTCTCTATCTTTGTATGGATAACGATTAAATTTATACGCAATTCGACTAGTATAAAAGAAGTTACACTTCAGTGAAATTAAGCATGGTATATTAGAAATCAGCTGGTTTGCCCCACTCACAATTCAATTGTGTTTGAGCACCTACTCTTTGTTCGAGTGTTTTTTGTAGTTGCATGATTCGAGAACGTGCTTGTTGTGCAACGTTTTGTTTGAGGAAAACCATTTGATAGAAGGTTTGAGCAGATATTTGAGGAAAATACTAAGCATCTCATAAAATCATTTTTAAACTCATTTATTTAAAGGTTTTTTCCCCCAATAATATAGGTATATTTTTATAACACAAACTGCACAGATATAAGAATAGGCTTAGATCTATTCTTACATACAATACAATATTACAATATTGAATGATCCTTAGGGATCATTCAATATTTCCGATGCGGATATCCAATAGGGTATTTGACAGTATTAAAAATAAAGTGCCAATTGTTAGCATCTGTGTTTAGAATGAATATTGGCAGGGGTTTTTACTATTTTAACAATAAAAATATTCACAATTTTACTAAAAACCCACGAAAAAGATAATAGTTTTCTTATCTATTGCCCCTTGACCCAAAACGCTTGGGATTGGCGGAGCCTAAAATGACGTCACACGCAAGTAAACTTCCGGTTAAAGTGACATTACATTGTATCGTTTGACGTTTTAATAACAGTCGTGTGACGTCACATACTAGTAAGACGCCATATTGTCCAGAGAAACGTTTTCGCGGTAACTTGAAAATGGAGTTTTTGATTTGGTTATTTTTACTGAAATACACAACAGAATGATGAATATCCACTTGTTACGGACTCCATAAACATTAGTCAATAACGTGAGACCGTTTTCTAAAACTTGTCAAATACCCTATTCCGAGTTTGATAGCTCCAACTTTTGACATAAGTTAAATATGCATTACGTCGTTACTTACTTGATAAAATGTCGCAATTAATGTTGAAGTAGCCAGTAAGGGACGATTCTCACCAGAATGAAAGTGGCTGAAAGAAGTTCAGTTTCTCACTGAAAGTAGTGTGAAGTAATTTTTAACTTTATCTGCATAATTAAAAGACTATTATCTTTTCAAAAGGTTTCGCTGGCGCGAATTTATGCTTTTCGGTTGCAGCTTTTTTCTTGTGAATTGACCCTAACATTTATGTGACAATTTGAGTAACGAAATCGATAGTCAGATTTCTTGTTAAAGAATAGGGGTGATGACGGGGTACAGTAAACGAAATTCTATTTAGTCCGTCAGTTAGATGATCAAAAAATAATGGACACGTATTTTTTCTTTGGGCAATCAACCAAAAAATGACAAAGCTATAGCGCGTCAAAGTTTGGGAGTTCGTGAGGGGCTCGTGACTTCGACTTTTCAAATCAATATTTCTCTGCAATGTTTATGTTATGTGAAAAAAGAAAAAATACGAGTTCAATACTTTTTGATAATCTACCTGATAAACGAAGAAAAAAAAATTAGTCATCATGCCTATTGACGTGATGATTCATGGTTATTAATTATTCGTTCTCCCGCAGCGACGCCCGGTGATAAGGTGCAACTGTCGTACGGCGAAGCGTGGCAGACTCCTGTGGGAACTTCGTACAGGTGCGGGGCTCGCACGCAGCTCAACCTGACCGTGGATTCGGGGTCGGGTGAACTCGCCGCCTCGCTTGTGGTCTCCGGGCTGCAGGAGGAGGCTTACAGAACCACGCATGGAAAAGGATTCAGTGCAGGTAAAAAGTTCAAATTTCAATAGTGGAAGGAAAAAGGAGCCGCGGTAGATCACCCGCCCGATGGACTGATGCGGTCAAGGAAGTCTGCCAAACTGACATTCAGACATCTATCCGGTTGGCCGAAAACCGCAATACGTGGAGGGAGCTGGTACACCGGGTCGCGCCCCTCAGTCATGAGGTTACGAGGAAGAAGAAGAAAAATTCAAAGATTCATTATCGTTTATTCAGTCTAGGCCAGTGTTTCCTAACCTTTCAGATACGGCTACCCCTGTAACCTATTAGGAAAACAGATTTAACCCCGACTTTAAAATGTTATCATCAGTCCAAGAAATTCCAATTTGGCCGCTACATCTTCGTCTCTAATAATGTCATCATCAGGAGAAAATCTCGCCCACCGCTTCCCACACTCAGCAGCCCGCGGACTTGCTAGCAAGTAGGAGCGCATGCTCTATTTAGTAGTATTATTATATAGTATTTTCTTATTATTTAGATTTGTCCAAATAATTACGTTCTTTGTTACCCCCGAAGCATTCCTGATTTACCCCCGGAGGATAATTACCCCCAGGTTCGGAACCTAGGGTCTAGGCTGTTACAAGCACTTGTGAATGTCGAAAAGCTACGCCGTCTGTTCGCAAATCTACAGCGCGAGACCTTGTACTGAGAAGAACCGGCAAGAAACTCAGCAAGGGCTGTTTTTCTCTCCCTGTTTTATATACAGAGTCGTCAGATTAAAAAATGACTTCAATATGAGGTAACTCATAAAGTAACTTTCCATTACAAATGAAAATAATATAAAAATTATGACTATAAAATAAAAAATATATGAAAAACTGGTTTAAAAAAGTTTAGGAATGCCGTGTCCTACTGTTGAGGCAAAAAAATAATAATGAACGATTAAAGTTTAGTACAACGATTAATAGTATCCAAGTACCCAATGAAGCAAGAGCAGAGTCATCTCCGCTGGCAGCACCCGATCACTATGATTGCTATTTCTTCTTTCAAATGTTTTTTTTCTCTATATGGCTTCGCACGGTTTGTGCATTTAGCCAATGTCAAGTGTAAAATGTTTACATATTCTATAGCACTCATGGTCAAAATCTTAATCAAATCAAAGTAAGTGGCAGTCAAGTCAATACCCCTTTCCCTATGTTTCAGTAAATGTGTGAGAATTTACTGGAACCTCCCCGTGGACTTCTTGAGGGAACGTCGAAAGACACTTTCCGCTATTTTGTTTCACTTGCCAACACTTGTGCATATTTCCGAACACTATGTGGTTAATAATCCACCATTATTAGACACTAACATCCGCCACAACACAATTTTTAACAAGAAAACAAAACTGCTAAAGTGACGCTTCCCGATCCCGCCAAAAAGTCCCTTTCAAATGTTTAATACTTGTAAAGGTATTCATTTGACATTGTGGGTTGCCTACAATGCGAAGAGATGGCGTTGCCTTGCAGCTTAAGAAAGGCTAGAGAGAATTCGACACGGCCATCAGGGCCGCGGTAGCATAATGGTCAGTGCATTGCATTCGCCCGGATAGCGAAATGTGCGGTTTCTAATCCCGTCTGCTGCCTGGTCCGCGTGGATTTTTTTCTAGCAATGTTTTCTTTGAATTCAAATATCTAACAGTTACATGCTTTAAAAATACAAAATATAATCCCGTAAAATAGTTTAAATGCTAAATATACACCAAACCAAACTCGATATCGGTGTCCAATGGGCGTCCGTTTTTCATCGTTATCTGGTGTGCACATAACACCTACTGATTAGGGCACTGATGTTTTGTGTTTTGCGATACAAACATTGCGTTCAACGTACTGCAACAGCTCATTAAAACGACACTTTCCTCGCAATAATACCATACAATAGGCATTTTTTTTATATAGCCTGGTAGGCAAATGACTGCCCCACATGATGTTAAGCGGTGATAAATTCCAAACGCGGAGATAGCTGGTACAGCACCACACCAACCATCCTCACCTTGCCGGCCTGCAAAAATGCTTCTTCACGTCTCTCTTAAAGGACCCCAGATTGTAGGAAGGACGGATCACGTTTTGATTTTAAGATTAATTGTGGCAAATTAAATGAAATTATAATTTATTGAAATGAAATGAAATGAAATGAAATTTATTTATTCACACAAAACAGTAGATATATTTTGGTAGTGATTTTCATTTAGTTCGTCCATTTGCCAACGACAGGGCATGTGAACGTCAAACTTAATTTAATTATAAAATTTAAAGGTTATGTCATTTCTGACTTATTCTATTCTAAGTCAATTTCCGTTTCTAAATATTCTCTAACTGAGTAAAAACATTTCGTTATTAGCCACATTTTAAGCTTCCTTTTAAATATAGGCAAACTAAGCTCCGTTATCAAGCGTGGTAACTTATTATAGATTTTTATACAATTCGGATAGCAGTTTTTATTGTAATATTGAGTACGCATATTGGGCAACATCAATCTACCTATAATTCAAATTGACTTATTGAAAAGTTATTTTGAATCGACCAATATTTTTTCCTACCGTATTCAGGGCATCTTTTAGCTGATGAGAAGAATGGGCACAAGAAACACATCAGCATTTAACAGGAAGCGCATCGTTTACAAAAAAATGATGTCGCTATCAATACAAAGTCCACTCACATTTTCATTGCTGTGTCATCTCTTATCTATTAGACAAGTCCGTCCCTCCGTCCGTGGTGCTGTTTCAGCGGCCAAACCGTAAGAGATAGATATAGAGAATGTTTAAGTTATAAGTTAAGAATAGTCTGATAAGACTACAAACCGGATGTGAGTAACGTAGCACTTCCGGTTTTCGAGAAATCACTTGATTTCTATTTCAAACGAAACCACACAAAATCTCCGAAGTTCTCAATTAATTAAATACTTTTTTTTTTTGGTGAACATTTGGTTCACAGGTTTGCTAGTACAGTATAAATACAAACAGTGTTAATTTTAGGTAAACGTTAGCATCTCATTAGTAACGCAGTATAGAGCAGACTCATCCCCGCTGTAGTGTCATAGACAGTACTGCGTTATTAGAACTAATATAATAATTTATAGAGTGTATTTTTATCATACCCTCTATAGACTATTTATAAATAAAACTCAAATGTGACTGACTGACTGACAAAGTGATCTATCAACGCACAGCTCAAACTACTGGACGGATCGGGCTGAAATTTGGTATGCAGGTAAATGTTATGACGTAGGCATCCGCTAAGAAGTATAAAATCCGAGGATTTTGATCAATTCTACTCCCAAGGGGAAAAAATAGGGAATTAAAGTTTGTATGAAACTTATCTCAATTTTAAACCGATCGGGCTGAGACTTTGCATGCAGGTATAAGAAGAATCATAGATGAATGTCACTGTGTATAATACAAGCCTGAGAACAAAAACTGTAGTCTACACTTCAGCTCTACACCGAAGCAAAGCGAGGGCGGGCCGCTAGTACAGTATAAATACAAACAGTGTTCATTTTAGGTATACGATAGCATCTCAATAGTAACGCAGTATAGAGCAGACTCATCCCCGCTGTAGTGTCATAGACAGTACTGCGTTATTAGAACTACTATAATAATTTATAGAGTGTATTTTTATCATATTCTCTATAGACTATATTCTCTATAGAATGAGAAGATCTCATATGAAGGCTCATATTTAAATTATAATCAAAATAGTCGGGACCCATTATTGAAAAATTTGATCCATCCTTGAATATCTGATGGGTCCCGACTGTTAAAGTAGCTTTGTCACTTACTTAACAGAATTATAGACTACTGATCTTGTTTTTTTTCTTTTCAGTTTTTATTTGCAGTAATATAAAGCAGTCGGGTTTTTTGATTTTTTAAATTTACGTTTTTTTTTAGGTGATCATTTATAGTTTTTTAAGGATTATTTAAATATTTTCCTTAAGAAAATCAAGCTAGACATAAAACCAATATGGATATTATCCAGTATAAGGACCAATCAACGAATTAGAAATGATATGGAAACATTGATCCCTACTAAAGTCTGCTAAAACAATTCAAACCCCCATACATCTGAACCACATACTACCACATACACGACGCGCACACACGAAAGAAAAAGGTTTACCAAATCAAATATCTGCCAAAAAATTCGGCTATCCATTCATTGGGTAAGATAATGTTAAACAGAAATCCCAACCAATCCCATGATCGGCGTATTGATCGCACCTTTTTCGCCCCGCCCACTTGATCGCAGTTTGCATGGAACAACTTTTTAGCGCAGTTCGTATTCCATATTATTTCTAATTCGTTGGGTTCAATAACATATTATTAAAGTTACCTACTTTTTCACTTAATCAAACTTATATAGACTCCGTTAAGTTATAGCTGTACTTTCAACAATACTTAAACAAAAGTTTAAGCCATTAAATCATTTATTTAAAACTACAAACGGATGCTTAAATTAATCAAAACTTCATATACCTACTTATTTCATTTCATATGTACTGCTTTGCGTCACTCTCAAAGCTTCGAGCGTAGCGACAAGTTTTTATCAAAGTTATAAAACTAGGTCCCTGTACATTCAAATACAGTGAGGCGTTGTCACAGAACTAGATTAAACAGTTCTCGTGAACGTGCCATATCTGAATGTACCGGAAATAATAATTGCGCGCCAATTTGACACTTATTACCATGGAATAGGGTGTACGCGGACCGCAAATAGTATGTTGTCGCAGAATGACCTTAACGGATGGGCATGCTCAGACGCTTCAGAAAGCGCACCCTTTATTTGTATTTACCCTGCGATAAGGAATATAGAGGTTACTTTAGTAGAGGTTTTTGAGTATTGACCTTTCTGTACCTCAAAAGGAAAATAGACTTAACTGAGGTTAAGGGGGCGTCCATAAATTACGTGAGATGATTAAGGGGGGGGGGGGGGTCGAGTCAAATCTCATCTAATCTTACGTTGGAGGGAGGGGGGGTTGAGTCAAATATCACGCGTGTTCCTCCGTGCTTCGGAAGGCACGTTAAGCCGTTGGTCCCGCCTGCATCTGCAGTCGTTAGCACCCGCCAATCCGCACTGGGCCCGCGTAGTGGGTCATGGCCCAATCTTCCTATTCCATCCACAGGGAAGGCCTGTGCTCCAGCAGTGGAGTCATTAATAGGCTGATTATGATGATGATGACACGACATCTAATCGAACTTATTAACTTATTAATATCAGTAAAGTAAGAAGTAAAGTCTTCTGTGTTTTCCTTGTTTATCTGATTAATACTTTTTGCAGAGAATGCGAAGTAGGTAATGTTACAAGATTGTTTGTGTAAATTCACATTTTATCATCGATCGATGCGTCATGTTCGCGCCGCCCGCCGCAATGTTTGTGTAGACAATGTTGTATATCGCGTTACAAATTTGCTCATGCGCAGCTGTAGTCTGCTTAAGTTTCATATCAAACCGGTCGTGATACAAGCAGAGAATACGTTTTGGGGATTCCCCGAATCTTTTTTATGTTATAAAAACTGTTAGTGTTTTTAGTTGCTTCTTGGGATTGTTGCCTCCCGTGAAGAGGTGCTGTTCGCTCGCGAATGAATAGAAAATAAAAAAGGTTACAAAAACAAGTTTGTGTAAACGTATTTATTTCTTAGTTGTGATTTATTATATATTGATGAGATAACTTTATTTGACTTTTCGTTCTTTTAAGTTTTGTTAGTTCTGCTTTTTTGTTGTACAATAAAATTTTGGGCACAGTTTATGTTTTGGAACTAAATTATTGGTATAAAGTAACATGTTTTATCACATTCTAAAAATAAATTTGTATTTATTTACTCCGTGATCGCGCTAAGGCAGCGCACGCCCCAAAAATAAGATAAAGTAAAGGTCATTTGGTGTTCGTGTTAGAAACTTATAGATAGACTAGCGGCCCGTCCTCGCTTCGCTTCGGTGTAGAGCTGAAGTGTTAGACTACAGTTTTGTTATCAGGCTTGTATTATACACAATGACATTCATCTATGATTCTTCTTATACCTGCATGCAACGTCTCAGCCCGATCGGTTAAAAATTGACAAAGTTTCATACAAACTTTCATTCCCTATTTTACCCCCTTGGGGGTAGAATTGATCAAAATTTTTTCTTAGCGGATGCCTACGTCATAACATGTACCTGCATACCAAATTTCTGCCCAATCCGTCCAATGGTTTGGGCTGAGCGTTGATAGATCACTATGTCAGTCAGTCACCTTCGAGTTTTATATATACAGATAGATATACTTTTTATCAAAACAAATAGTAAACTGTGGTGGGTAAAGGCGGTCTGATCGCTGAAAGCGATCTCTTCCAGACAACCTTTAAGTTAAAGGATAGTTTAACAGAGATAGAGGAGTAATGTGCCAGCAAAATATAAAACAAAAAAAAGCGAGTGTCAGTGATAACTTAAACTAATCTAAGCGGCGCTGCGGGTTAGAGTGAGAGAGAGGAGTAGCCTGCCCAACACTGTCGTATGCGTGAGAGGAAGGTAAGCCAGACAGACTGGCGCTGTAACGCGTTACGTAACGAAGCCGTTTACCCTCCCATAAGAAGTCCCAAATAATATGTTTATAATATCGTCATGAGCCTATTAATTTTGTAGCAGTGGGGCTCGGGCACAGGCCTTCCCAATGGATGGAATAGGGAGATTGGGCCATGACCCACCACGCGGGGCCAGTGATTAGTTTCAAATGTTACACATCATACGCGACTACTGTAAGGCTCGCTCGTTTTTTTTAAATAAAGAACAATAATGGCATCCGAACAAAAAGAATTCCTCTTAATTGATGAGGTGAATAAAAAAAAATCTTCTTTATTCGCACTATTTTTAATATTTCGTCGGTTTGTGACGTCAGTGCACTGGCCGGTATATTTCGGAACAATTGACCAGTATAGCGTTGATTCATGACGTCATTAGCACTGGCCAGTATACTGGTATATATTACTTCATGAACTTTGAACCACATGGGTGGGGGGCCATAGAGTAATTTGAACTCTCGATTTGCGCGCTTTGTGCTTAACTCTGAATAAGTATCATACAAGAAATGAGTGTAAAGTTAAGTGCTGTTTGGTGGGTGCTAAAGGCTGCAGACGCAGCCGGGACCAACGGCTTAACGTGCCTTCCGAAGCACGGAGGAGCTCGAGATAGTTGATTTTTGGTCACCCATCTAATGACTGACCAATGCGAAAGTAGCTTAACTACAACGGTCGCAGCCGAACGTGCAAACTCGTTTGTAATATGTTTTTATTTATTTGTTGCTTCCAGCTCGTGACTGCGGCGGTACCGATTTGCCCGACGCGGTGCCAATAGCCGTTGGTTGCGCGCTGGGTGGGCTGGTGCTCGTTGTACTAGTGGCCTACCTCGTGGCGCGCCGTCGTTCCGCCGCCAGGGGATACCTTTCCATGTAGACCGCAGGTGAGTCTGACAAAACTTTAAGGCTGAGCCACAAGTGGTAGACTATAAGAACTTTATTTTCATGTGAGAGAAAAATAAATAAATGATTGATTGATTGATTGATTGATTGATTGATTGATTGATTGATCATGGATTTTTCTTCTACAAACTGGTGGGGTGGTGGTGCGGCACCGTTTTCACTGCCCGCGCACCTGCAAGGTGATTGTCCGTTTCTGGGCGCCGCGCCGCCCCCACGTCGAGCCGCTGCTGTAGCGCTACGCAAAGAATGTGCCTGTGTGTACGTGTGTGCGTGTGTGTAAGTGCGTCGATAAAAAAGTATCTAAATAACGTTTTGAAAATATTAATGTAGAAATCTTGAAAAATAAAATGTAACTTTGACTTGAGCGCAGATTAGAGTCACGACAGTTGTAAGACTATCTTGTCTCACATAGACAAAACAGTTTGAAATTTAAAATAAACAGTTGTGTCTACCATGTGGCGCACACCAAGACCAATCTGTTTTGTCTACGATGCGACACACAAGTTCATCAGTATCAAAACAGATATCACCGATTATTTTTGTTATATTGTAAATTAAGGCACCACCCCAGAAAGTTTTTCCAGTAATTTCGAATGAATGTGTCTACCTTTGATAATTTGTTACAATTTATGTACCCACACATTACTTATTTTATCGTATGTATTGTATACTTTCTTTCGGTATCGATTATCATCCCTAATCGCTAGACAATATTGTCGTTGATGTGCGCCCTCGCATACATTACAAAGGGAAGCGGACAGTCGTTAGTCAGACTTGTCGCTTTGCAGTTCTTGTGCAAATAAGACGATATTGTCTATGAGACGTCTCGTTTGAAATGTGCGCATCTTCATAATTTTTGTTAAGCAATAGTCTGTCTTGAGACTGTCGTGACTCTAATCTGCGCTCAGCCTAACCAACAGGTTTCCAGCACAAACGGACTGCTGTATACCATCCTGCATCCAACGGCTTCATGACAGGATACCGTGTGTAGACCTCCCTGGTCTATTCGCCTAACGGAAATGCTTTGGAAAACGCTAACACTTACGATTTCATTTTGTAATTTCTAGCCGCCTGAGGTTTTCAAATGCCCCGCGTTGTTTTTTCTTTTGCATTGGTAATAACAATATTTAAGAAAATGAGCTTGACGTATTTGAAAACCTTCGGCGGTTAGAAATAACAAATCGAAAGCGTTACTGTTTTCCAAAGCATTTCCGTTAGGCGAATAGCCCCCGGGTCTTCGCGCTCTTATCCTACGGCTGCGGTGTTTGCCTAGAAATATCTACCGAGCTGGGTGATGTTAGCTCGGGGGGCGTGGATCTAACTATGTTGGTCGGCCTCTGTATAAATGCTTGTGTTGGCTACGAATTTCGTATGCAGGATGTAGACTCTCCATACTATTGAGTACGCCGTCGGTAGCACCATCTCTTGAGAATGCAAGTGATGTCGTTCCTCCATATTGAAACTCGATGAAACGAATATTTACAGTATTTGACACAAGGTATCCGTTATTTTCTAAATATCTGCAATAGACAGATAGCCGTACGGTAACGGTCTTGTTGGGGTTGACACCAAATGAATGGTGGTTCGATCCTGAGTTTGGGTATTTTTAATTGTTTTTTTTTATCTTTTATTAAGCTATTATTTTATTTTTAATTGTTTTTTCCCTTTTATTAAGCTATTATTTATTTAGGAAACAATTTAAGTATAGAATATTTAATGTTGCCCTGTATTTTACAGTACCTGGTCATGAAGGACTTTAACGTATTTACATTTTTGTAGGTTTCACTTCTCTCGCATGTGAACAGCACATGTCCGTTTTTTTTGCGTATAGAGCAAGACAGGGACATTTACACCCCCGGACACATTTATCGGCCCACTTAGTGTTATAAGTTTCAACGGTCTGTAGCTAAAATATATGTTATGTTGGTCAAAAATAATATAGTTTTAAAAACACACGAATAATATATTGACGACCTCCGTGGCCGAGTGGTTTGTACGCCGGGTTTCATGGTGTCGCCGACTCGAGAGGTCCCGGGTTCGAATCCCGGTGGGGGCAGACGTTTGTGTGATGAATACGAGCATTTGTACTCCAGTCATGGATGTTTAATATGTATTTCTATATAAATATACTTATATATGTACAGTATATGTATTCTATCCGTTACCCTAGCATCCTATAACACAAGCCTTACAGTGCTTACTTTGGGGCTAGGCTAAATGGTGTGAGTGTTGGAAATATTTATATTTATATTATATTTATTTAAAGGTAGTAATACTACGTATGCGTGTGACATGCTTCCAGACTTTGACCAACGGCGATACTTTGTTTTCACCAAATTTGTCATCCGACCGTGACGTCACATTTATTACCAATCTGAACGCGAATTAGCATTGCCGCACGCCGCCGAATTTGACGATTTCAATTTCAAACAAACACTTAATTATATGGGTGCGGTAAGTGGGCGCTCTCTGGCTACATACCATCCTGCATGAAAGGCTTGGTGGAACGTTGCCACCAATAATTTAGAGCCGCAATAGTTCGCCACGCAAATGAAAGCTACACAGAGTCCTTGCCATGGTTTTTATGTATACTCCTGCAAAACCTAAAAACCTCTTTCATATCCAATGCTGGGCCACAGCGCACAGGAGATTGGGTCATTTCGCATGACTTCCCACGTGTGCCCAACTGCAAATTGGTAATGCTAAAGACTGCAGATAAATTGACTGCAATTTCATTGAGGATGCCATAGCCACAAAAAATCTATTTCACTACGCGCTGATAAAGTCCCGGATGAAATATAAGACCTTACATGCCAATAAACTTTTGTTATTCATAAAAACATAATAATATGTTCGATAAAGTTACAATGTATGGGAGCGTACGGTAAAATGTTTTACTGCACGCTTAGTTGTATGGCCCGTAATTTTGAACTTTGAATGTATACAACCTCCGTAAATGCATTTTTTGAGAAAATGTGTTGAAATTAATTTATCAGCCGATTCAAGTAGCTGTTAAAATTTCTTTGTGAATATTGGGTTTATATGACAGAATCACTATCGGAAATTCTGTCAGGTACTATCGCGGAATTTTGCGCTCTGTCACTTGGCGAACAAAATGCTTTGAACGGTTTTCTACAGTAGTTTTTACTACGCCCCGCCTTCGCGTCGGACGCGCCAATCCGGGCCGCCGCACAAAAGTAAGACAGAGAGCATTTCATTGATTGAATAATGAATTGAATTGCATTTGGTTTAGTTGCAATTTGTCATCCGCATCGTGATCGCGACAGCGCTATACGAAAAAGTAAGACAGCGATAATTATATGTCTATAAATGAATTTTTACTACGCCGCTACCGCAAGCGATTATGGTATTATGGGTGACAGAGCGGGTCTTTCCGCGAGTGTACCAGAATAACTGGACTTACGAACTGTATTAAATTAATATATACGTGTTTCATGCTTTCAGGTTGAACGGCGGTAAAAGTTGTATAGTGAAAGGAAACAGTGTTATACCCTCGCGATATCGAGTAAGCACTTTGATTTAATAAAAAAAACAATCATTTTATTTTTTATTCTATCGTACTGTATAATCGTATTCATTCATTTGTAAACTGCGGAGCAGAAGTGGAAACTTTCGTTCTTTATACTGGCAACATTTACAGTGTTGCAATGTTAAGACTTCTAAAACGCCCATTTGCCTAATACAACTTAATTATCCTGCATGTTTTTATCCTTAATATTTTTTACGTGAATAGAGAAATTTGCTCAAGCATTAGTTTCTTCAAATTAAATGAAAAAACAATGTATGTATTTAAAATACTTAATTATTTTATGAATACAGGATTTCACTAACACAAAAATCATACATACCTTTTGCTTTAAAATTATTGCTTTGTGATTATTAGCAGGTCTATTTTCATTATAAAAAAATAATATTTAATACATTTCCACTCTGTTGTTTGAAGAAGATAGTAATTCTCGGCCATATTAGTAGGATAATATTGTTTCCGACATCTGGTTTAGCTACATTGGGAACATGGAAATCTTTAAAGTAGTGGTTATATGGAAAATTAAAAAAAATACACTATATTGTACTAGAGAAATGTGACAAATTATTACTATATAAATAGAAATGTGATGTTATTCTTAGATTTATTGGATACCTATAGTTGTTTCTTCTACTCAGATAATATTTTCGGTTTGATTTTCTGATGATTCTTTTAAATGTATATTGTTGATTATATCCAAAGATTTGATTTCTGATTATTTGATTTCGTTCACGTTATACCGCCGTATAACGACATGATACAATGACATGATCGTAAAATCGCCCTGTGTCTGTCCACTAAATATTATTCCGTAAAAGACGCCCGTAGAAGTAGATAGTGGTAACAAAACGCAGTGTCTTTTACTATGAATAGATAGTATATTAAATATATTTCATTAAGTGTAAAACTGAACGCTGGACATATGCATTGTTTACAGACAAATCCAGATTTTGATTAATGGCAACTCATTTGATTGCAGTGTTGCCAGTTGATAAAAAAACAGACAATGGATTTTGTTCAGTATTACCCGACGAACTATGTTTCAAACTAATATTGTTATAGAAATTTTCCACCAAAATATAATTATGTCTGTTAATTTAATCATATAATTAAGCAGTAATGCTTACAATACATGACATACTATATGTATTAGTTTCAGTCATAGTTCGGGGGTGTCTTGAGGTCTGGTTTGATTCGGGTAGTCTAGATATGCGAGCGGTCTTTGGCTAGCTGAACAATATATTGTCTTAAATCAGAGTAATTTTCTGTGACATGTTTAAAAGGTAAATATCCTAAATAAATGGTACTTGGGACATATAGAAACAAAAAGTTTTAAGATCAGAAATGGTGTGTCTAATATGTAATAAATCAAGTTGGAATGCCAGTCAAAGACCGCTCGATGATAACATTGTGATGTGAGGAGGTGTGAAAATGGAGAATTAAATGTTTTTTATTGCCACATTAGACTTTTATTTCACCTGTGAAAAAGCAAAGTTAAATAAATTACGTACAATTATTATTTTGTTATATACACAGTCACGTAAATTATTCTTATGATCTATTTATTTATGTACAATGGCTTTGTGTCGCGTTGAACAAAGTGGTCATTGTTTTTGTTGGATTTTTTTTATAGATTTCCTTACAAGAAAGTTCCGCTCAATGGTTAGTCGCTTGCAATACACTATAATCATTAGATATATTTGTCAAAGTATTATCATCCTTACTGCTGCACAAATAAAGTTTAAATTATCAAATCGAGACTACAATACGTATTTTAATAAAAATAAAAGGATTTCTATAAGAATAGCATCTTTATAATTCATAATCACCATCAGACTATTAATGTCGCCACTGCTGGGGCGCAGGCCTTCGCTATGGATGGAATAGGGAGATGAGCCATGACCCACCACGCGGGCCCAGTGCGGATTGGCGGGTGTTAACGGCTGCAGATGCAGCCGGGACCAACGGCTTAACGTGCCTTCCGAAGCACGGAGGAACTCGAGATAGAAGATTTTTGGTCCCCCATCCAATGGCCGACCACTGCGAAAGTTGCTTAACTTCAACAATCGCAGTTGAACGCGCTAACCACCTGCGCCATCGAGCTCCACATACTTCTTACATAATACCAATTAGCACATGGTTATCATTATTTATTGCGAAAGATGATAAATACTTGAATGTTTAACATAATAATTTTATCGTTATACAGTTTTAAAATGAATAAATAGCCCTTTTAGCAATAAAAAGTGAAAAGCTTTCTGACCACTAGGTCCAACACTTATATCGAGATTAATTAAAATTATTGAACACGCTCTCATAAATAAAATTAATTTGTGACGGCAACACACGGTGTTTAGTTAACTATTAAAGCTGGACCATCGTATGTACAACAGGCTATAGTTCGATCAAATAAAACACGACTGAAAACGGCGGAGCATTCGTACAATATTGCTTAAAATCGGCCATTTTTAAATTAAAAACAATTAAATTCATCAATGATAATGTGAAAACCAAAAAGAAATCCACAGGTGCCCCTTTTTCAGATATGAATTGAAATAAAAACTGTCCCCAAAAAATAAATACGGCGAAAAATCTTGCATGATAACAGTACTGCTGTCAAACACCGCCATTAACAGTCAATTTATTGAATTGACCTAGCTATGCGGTGACTCGCCTTTGCACATTTTAAGCTAACTCTAGTGACTACGTGTAAGTACATAAATGCATATTGTCTTCGTTATTAAAGTATTTAGTTAGGTGAAAAACTTCTACTTATAAATCTTTAATCAAAGGACATGGCTAAGAAACTGCCTTTAACGGGTATAAATATTTCGCACTAGCCAGTAACTTTACAATATTTTTTTATTAATTATTACGTGTTTATTATTCTCATACAACTTTCGTGAAATAATCAAATCTTTGAAAGTATAAAAATTGACTTCATGTCTGTTTAAAAAGCAAAATGTTCCGTTTTACAAAATAAATGAACAATAAATGTACACAAAATATATTTGTGTAAGTATATCGAAATAAACAATATTGTTTCTAAACTCCTTCAAACTATGACATATTTGGCCCTAATTTTTATCAAAACAAATCACTGAAGGCCTAAAATAATAGATTTCTATAATTCTGATCAGGCTTGAAACAAGGCTGTATGATAATTTATCCTTTAATTTTTGCAAATTAACAAAATAAAACTTCACAGATTTCCTGTCAGGCCGACGATAACAAACTATTTGTATTTTTTTTTTGCTTTAAAAACAATTTTTGTGAAGAGTTAATCAGAGAAATGGGAAGAAAGATTTTAAGAAAATGCGAAATGCATGACTCTGTAAACAATTGGCAACATCTTTTATCAACTGTAGTAAGGTAATGACATAGTAGGAGTTCTCATAATTTTCAAGATTGTGACTATCAAAAGTTCCCGAGGCTTTTTTCATAGAAATTATAAATATTCAGCCATTTACCATTAAATATTACTAAGTATAGTATTTATACATTGCCAGGGCAGTCGCTCATACAAAACTTTACCATGTCCTTTAAAATGTGCTTATAAGTCGCAGCACGGAACTCTAGCGCTGACCGTTATTGCGCAGAAGTAAAAATTAAGATGTGTTGGGGGGAAACGAGGTGAGCTGGTTGGCGTGCCCTGCGCCGATTGTCTCTCCCGTCATGCCCATGCGCAGATAGCCCCCCAGTGGTTTGTTCAACGCTAGAGTTACGTGCCGCGCGACCTTTGATTGATTTAATAATAACAAGAATACATCTCGGAACTTTTATGATACTACAAATACTACTTTAGTGGATCAAGAAATGTGTCAAAAATTCAATATGATAATGAGGTTTAAAGTATCAATTTCATAGAAAAAAATTACTACCTAAGTGTACACCTATATAGAAAAATACAAAAAAAATATTAAACTATGTGACTAAATATTTACAGATACAGTAATTATCGACTTACTATGAATACTGGTAATTATATTAAGTACCTCATTATGTACACGAGTATTAAGAGTGTTGTCCTCCATAAATAAAGGGTTTTATTTAGTAAAATAATATTTACATTAGCCTCTGTTTGTGACTCGTGGTGCTGATAATCTGTTTTAATAGCAAAGGAGAATGCCCATTGGTAGTATCGTCCTTGGTCGGCCTTGTACATTCACCTAATTTATATCAAAAATCAAGTTTTTAATTTTCACAAAACCATGTTAAATAATTTGCTTTAACTTCGCCGAACAAAAATTTCTATAAAAAATTAGTAATTCATTCACTTCCATTTCATTTGTATTTTTGACACACTTGTCTTCTCAGTGTTGCCATTTTGTAATAACCGTATCGATTTATCAAAATATAATCGATGCACTTGTAGTTATTTCATCAAAATAACGAGTTAGATTATGCGTACAATTCAATATGCTTAAGAAAACATATTATATTGCATTACATTTGTCGCAAAAAAAGTAGTCTGATCTGTATATTAAGATTATTACTTAAGTATAGATTTAGACTCGAAAGTCACTAATACACGTTTAGATCGACTGCTAACAGTTTATTTACCGGATAATTGTCCATATTATCGAGGGGTAGTCAGAAAAAAAAGTATCGCAACGGCTCGGTGTCTATTAAAAACCCCGATTTTTTAGGGTCGTACATGACACATTGTATATGTGTCATGTGCCCTAAACGTAAATGCTGCATCACATGCATTTATGTCTACGTGCATGACCGACGATAATCCATACGAGTAATTCATAACTTGCATGCTGATAATAAAAGGAACTCCATGGGGACTTCTCATTCATCTGCCTGTACCTAGCCTGAACGCTGTTTGTTTTGATATCAATAAAATAAATTCTTTTTTGCTTTACTAAGTATCTCATGACGCAATACCGTCCACAGATTTAACACAAATAATGTATCAGATATACTATGTTATATTTTGCACGTATAGCGCTATACATGTGCTATACGTGCAAAATATAACATTTATGCTTCTACTATGATCATAAATCTATGACAGTGTAATAAATAATTAAGCGGGATTAAACTATTGTACCAGTAGTGATAAATCGGGAAAGAGGAATATCGATTCATTCATATTTTTTTAGAAACTGGTAATAATATTTCCAGCGGTGTCTGTCAAATTGTTTTTTTTTCACTGACGGTTCTAATTTCGAGCAGATTATTTGGTAAATATTTCAGTGTTTATAATTATTTTCATCTATTTCCTTTAAGCCGAGTTGATTTTTGATTTGATCCAACCATTTTATAGATAGATAAACTTGAAAAAGGGAAGGCAAGAATTATTAATATAATGACATTTGTTATATCGTTATTCGTATTACCCGTCGAGCTAGAGAAAAAGTATATTTAATTATTGAATCTACACATAGGACCCTACAAAATAATGTAAAAACCGTCATTGTACAAAATTTTTCGTAGCGATACTACAGTCCATACTACGATGGGCATTCTCCTTTAATGTATACTGTATTTGCTGAAGGTGACTCGCCTCGGTATAAAATAATAATAAAATTATCTTCAAAGTTTTCACTTTACAATTACTAATGCGTCTAAAAGAATTGATACAAAAAATCATAATTAATTTTCAACAAACATAAAATCTTAAATGTTTAATTACCATTATCTTGGTGTTATCAAGACACATCGAAAAAACTTTTGTTATGGAATATTCTTAAACTCAGAACTCTGCTTTCTGCTCTGTGAGACTGTGACCCAAAACCAGATTTGGTATTTATTTAAGGCACTCAAAATCTAGTCTAATTTGACCAAATACATTCGCAATTATAGAAATACGTTTTAAATTGTTCCTATTTTTTCCAAATCTCTTAAAATACAAAATTTACATTATTAATCTCTAGCCAAAACTATTTCAAAGTGAATTAAAGTTGCTTTTAAACTACATTTAATCAATTAGATTTTTGGATTTTCTAATGTAATTTATTATCAACCATGATAAAAGCAAATGAAGATAATCTTTATTAAGACAGTTGAAAGAACTCAAGCTACTTTGAAAGATTTTCCTATTTTTAAATATGAAGTTCTATCAAGCTCATCTTAGAAGATACATTTGCACTACTAATATCGTTCTTAGTGCTTGGCAATTGGAGCTAACAATATCATTGTCATATTCATTGGCAAGTATTTTCGAATTACAAATTCTACGTGACAGAAGAAATACTAAAAAGCGTAATAAAACATATTGAGAGCGAAAAGAAACGAAACGAAATAATTTCGCTTTTTCGACCAACAAATAGAGCTACATACTAAACTCTGCAGTGAAAAATCTTAAGTACTAAAAAGATGTATAGAAGTATTGCCTGTGCTGTAACACGACAGCTGTGATGGGAAGTTATTACACAAAAATATCTCTACGTAACTACAAAGGTTTTCTTCGTAGGAGGAAATCGATGGTGAGTGATGTATTCCGTTAGATTCCAAAACATTGGGCCCTTAAGGTGTCTTCTATCTTCCCGCGAGTTTAGGAAGGTCTTTTTCACTTTGGGAACTTGTACCGCATCATGGTCACCGCTTCGGACACGAGTCCAGGAGTACGTGGTGGGTGTTCATCTCGCTCCAGGGTCGTAAGCGTCCCCCCACCCATACTTCAGCGATGCAACCCTTGAAGTTCTCCCGCCCGCCGTCCGGCAGGTCCGCTGTACCTTCTGGAATGATACAATATACATGTTGTAAAATTTATGAAACATAATTAGGCATTCAATATCTATATATATAAAACTCAAAGGTGACTGACTGACATAGTGATCTATCAACGCACAGCCCAAACCACTGGACGGATCGGGCTGAAATTTGACATGCAGGTAGATGTTATGACGTAGGCATCCGCTAAGAAAGGATTTTGATCAATTCTACCCCCAAGGCGATAAAATAGGGAATGAAAGTTTGTATGAAACTTTGTCAATTTTAAACTGTTCGGGCTGAGACTTTGCATGCAGGTATAAGAAGAATCATAGATGAATGTCATTGTGTATAATACAAGCCTGAGAAAAAAAACTGTAGTCTACACTTCAGCTCCACACCGAAGCGAAGCGAGGGCGGGTCGCTAGTTGTAAATATAATTTTAATGACAGAGTTCTTGTAAGATGCTAAAGAATTTAAGATGCTAAAGAATTTGGTGCAGGAGGAATGAGGAATAACATAATGCCTTGTAAACGTAGATTCTGGCCCAACAGCGTGTAGGGCCAGTACCTGGCGCGCCGGCGACGTAGAGGCGTGGCAGGCGCGGCGCGTCGGGCAGCAGGGCGGGCGGGCCTGGGTCCGCCCCCCAGTGTGTAGGGACAGTACCTGGCGCGCCGGCGACGTAGAGGCGTGGCAGGCGCGGCGCGTCGGGCAGCAGGGCGGGCGGGCCTGGGTCCGCCCCCCAGTGTGTAGGGCCAGTACCTGGCGCGCCGGCGACGTAGAGGCGTGGCAGGCGCGGCGCGTCGGGCAGCAGGGCGGGCGGGCCTGGGTCCGCCCCCCAGTGTGTAGGGCCAGTACCTGGCGCGCCGGCGACGTAGAGGCGTGGCAGGCGCGGCGCGTCGGGCAGCAGGGCGGGCGGGCCTGGGTCCGCCCCCCAGTGTGTAGGGACAGTACCTGGCGCGCCGGCGACGTAGAGGCGTGGCAGGCGCGGCGCGTCGGGCAGCAGGGCGGGCGGGCCTGGGTCCGCCCCCCAGTGTGTAGGGACAGTACCTGGCGCGCCGGCGACGTAGAGGCGTGGCAGGCGCGGCGCGTCGGGCAGCAGGGCGGGCGGGCCTGGGTCCGCCCCCCAGTGTGTAGGGCCAGTACCTGGCGCGCCGGCGACGTAGAGGCGTGGCAGGCGCGGCGCGTCGGGCAGCAGGGCGGGCGGGCCTGGGTCCGCCCCCCAGTGTGTAGGGACAGTACCTGGCGCGCCGGCGACGTAGAGGCGTGGCAGGCGCGGCGCGTCGGGCAGCAGGGCGGGCGGGCCTGGGTCCGCCCCCCAGTGTGTAGGGCCAGTACCTGGCGCGCCGGCGACGTAGAGGCGTGGCAGGCGCGGCGCGTCGGGCAGCAGGGCGGGCGGGCCTGGGTCCGCCCCCCAGTGTGTAGGGACAGTACCTGGCGCGCCGGCGACGTAGAGGCGTGGCAGGCGCGGCGCGTCGGGCAGCAGGGCGGGCGGGCCTGGGTCCGCCCCCCAGTGTGTAGGGCCAGTACCTGGCGCGCCGGCGACGTAGAGGCGTGGCAGGCGCGGCGCGTCGGGCAGCAGGGCGGGCGGGCCTGGGTCCGCCCCCCAGTGTGTAGGGACAGTACCTGGCGCGCCGGCGACGTAGAGGCGTGGCAGGCGCGGCGCGTCGGGCAGCAGGGCGGGCGGGCCTGGGTCCGCCCCCCAGTGTGTAGGGCCAGTACCTGGCGCGCCGGCGACGTAGAGGCGTGGCAGGCGCGGCGCGTCGGGCAGCAGGGCGGGCGGGCCTGGGTCCGCCCCCCAGTGTGTAGGGACAGTACCTGGCGCGCCGGCGACGTAGAGGCGTGGCAGGCGCGGCGCGTCGGGCAGCAGGGCGGGCGGGCCTGGGTCCGCCCCCCAGTGTGTAGGGCCAGTACCTGGCGCGCCGGCGACGTAGAGGCGTGGCAGGCGCGGCGCGTCGGGCAGCAGGGCGGGCGGGCCTGGGTCCGCCCCCCAGTGTGTAGGGACAGTACCTGGCGCGCCGGCGACGTAGAGGCGTGGCAGGCGCGGCGCGTCGGGCAGCAGGGCGGGCGGGCCTGGGTCCGCCCCCCAGTGTGTAGGGCCAGTACCTGGCGCGCCGGCGACGTAGAGGCGTGGCAGGCGCGGCGCGTCGGGCAGCAGGGCGGGCGGGCCTGGGTCCGCCCCCCAGTGTGTAGGGACAGTACCTGGCGCGCCGGCGACGTAGAGGCGTGGCAGGCGCGGCGCGTCGGGCAGCAGGGCGGGCGGGCCTGGGTCCGCCCCCCAGTGTGTAGGGACAGTACCTGGCGCGCCGGCGACGTAGAGGCGTGGCAGGCGCGGCGCGTCGGGCAGCAGGGCGGGCGGGCCTGGGTCCGCCCCCCAGTGTGTAGGGCCAGTACCTGGCGCGCCGGCGACGTAGAGGCGTGGCAGGCGCGGCGCGTCGGGCAGCAGGGCGGGCGGGCCTGGGTCCGCCCCCCAGTGTGTAGGGACAGTACCTGGCGCGCCGGCGACGTAGAGGCGTGGCAGGCGCGGCGCGTCGGGCAGCAGGGCGGGCGGGCCTGGGTCCGCCCCCCAGTGTGTAGGGCCAGTACCTGGCGCGCCGGCGACGTAGAGGCGTGGCAGGCGCGGCGCGTCGGGCAGCAGGGCGGGCGGGCCTGGGTCCGCCCCCCAGTGTGTAGGGCCAGTACCTGGCGCGCCGGCGACGTAGAGGCGTGGCAGGCGCGGCGCGTCGGGCAGCAGGGCGGGCGGGCCTGGGTCCGCCCCCCAGTGTGTAGGGCCAGTACCTGGCGCGCCGGCGACGTAGAGGCGTGGCAGGCGCGGCGCGTCGGGCAGCAGGGCGGGCGGGCCTGGGTCCGCCCCCCAGTGTGTAGGGCCAGTACCTGGCGCGCCGGCGACGTAGAGGCGTGGCAGGCGCGGCGCGTCGGGCAGCAGGGCGGGCGGGCCTGGGTCCGCCCCCCAGTGTGTAGGGACAGTACCTGGCGCGCCGGCGACGTAGAGGCGTGGCAGGCGCGGCGCGTCGGGCAGCAGGGCGGGCGGGCCTGGGTCCGCCCCCCAGTGTGTAGGGCCAGTACCTGGCGCGCCGGCGACGTAGAGGCGTGGCAGGCGCGGCGCGTCGGGCAGCAGGGCGGGCGGGCCTGGGTCCGCCCCCCAGTGTGTAGGGCCAGTACCTGGCGCGCCGGCGACGTAGAGGCGTGGCAGGCGCGGCGCGTCGGGCAGCAGGGCGGGCGGGCCTGGGTCCGCCCCCCAGTGTGTAGGGCCAGTACCTGGCGCGCCGGCGACGTAGAGGCGTGGCAGGCGCGGCGCGTCGGGCAGCAGGGCGGGCGGGCCTGGGTCCGCCCCCCAGTGTGTAGGGCCAGTACCTGGCGCGCCGGCGACGTAGAGGCGTGGCAGGCGCGGCGCGTCGGGCAGCAGGGCGGGCGGGCCTGGGTCCGCCCCCCAGTGTGTAGGGACAGTACCTGGCGCGCCGGCGACGTAGAGGCGTGGCAGGCGCGGCGCGTCGGGCAGCAGGGCGGGCGGCAGTCTGGCGGGCGGGCCGTCGTCGGCCCACACGGCGGTGCCCTTGACGCCGGCCCAGTGCCAGCGCGCGTCGCACAACCCGCGCCCGGCCTCCGCGCGGCCCCGCACCTCGCCGGTGCTAGAGTACCGCGTCAGCACCACCTGTTAACACACATAAATAAATCTATATATATAAAAATGTTATGTTGGTTTGTGTACGCTTCAAAAACTCAAAAAGTTCTGCACCGATTGAGTTGAAATTTTAACATGATATAAAGTCCGCATCAAGGATTGTTTTTATCTATTTTTCGCGTCAGTCGCATATCTGCGACCGCGAGAAAACAGTTTTTTTAACGATCAGCTGTGTACCAGTGACCGCGCCATCTGCCAGAAGCGAGGAAAACACTCGCTGACAACCGCAATAGTAATGACGCAGTCTTATGTGAAATGTATTCACATTTCTCAACCATTCAATAACAATGTGCCACTGCGAAGCGTGGCAGGGTATAGCCATAAATAATAAAAAATGGATGCGTGTAACTTATGTACGCGCGTGAGAAGTTATACTTCTTTAGCATCATTAAAAATATTTTTTAATTGCATGCAAATAATTAATAATTACAATAAAATAATAAAAGGACTGGAAAAGGATAGAGTTAACACAGTCAATTAAGTTCAGTTTTAATTTGAAAAATTAAATAAATATTCAAAATATTCAATTAAAATCACTACTGAATTTAAGTTATAAGTCCATATGTAATTAGCACTTGTAAGTAACTAAAACACGTTGTGTCTATATAGAAACTAGAAACATGTGGATAAATATTATAAATATGAAAACAGTGATCAGAGGCGACGAGCGTGCCAACATTGTTTTTGACAACGCGATCATCTTATGGAGCTCCGTGGATCGTTCAAAGTACCTTTCGAACAGATGTCTAATAATGGTGGATTATTAACCACTAAGTTGTTAATAATCCACCATTATTAGACACTAACATTCATAACGCGCCCGCGGCCAACTTCATGGTGTTACTATTGTGTTACAGTGATGCGCGCGCATCTCGAAATTTCACACATGATTTTTTCATAACGCGCCCGCGGCCAACTTCATGCTGTTACTTTTGGGTTACAGTGATGCGCGCGCATCTAAAAATTTCACTCATCATTTTTTCATAACGCGCCTAAAGAAGTATAACTTCAATAAATATTTACTACACACACCAATTAGCCTAGTCCCAAAGTAAGCATTGTAAGGCTTGTGTTCTGAGATACTAGGGTAACGGACAGAATACATATACTGTACTTAAATAAGCATATTTATATAGAAATACTTATTAAACATCCATGACTGGAGTATAACGTTTGGTAAGATCAAGTGATTACCTTTCCGTCTCGTAACTCCAGCAGTAATCCGTCAGCGGCGAGCAGCAGCGCGCGCGACGCCGCGCTCCTGAAGCGCACGCGCACTTCCGAACCAAACTCCACGTCGCTCACCGACGCGTACGCATCACCTAAGTCATAAAATTACATGTTTATACGTTTTTAATAATGTATTCTCTTTTCGGCCGGCAGGATGTACGAGTAATCGTACAGTTTAGGTTATAAATAATATGTTCTAATTTAGGTCACGTAGAAACAAGTCATTTACGCGTTGTATTGTGCAATATGTTTAAGCTACTACTTTATAATATTAAATTTACATGCAAATAAACAGTGTTAGAACAACTATCATTGGGTTTGTTTCGTACATTAACTTTCCCTTATAATTACAATCTGGCACTCTTCTCATGTACTGTAGACACACTACAATTGTTATTTATTAATTTTTTTTATTTTACCCTACTGCGCAATGCAAGAGCGCGAAGTGTTTAACAGTCTATATATGTATGTTTGTTCCTTTGTGGCACACTAGAGACCAAACGCCTGGACCGATTTTGATGATTCATACATCAATCGATTCTTCTCAATCATGGGAGGGCTACTAAAGATATGATAGTAATCAAAATTCAATATGGGCAAAATTATTTAAGCTGATGTTGATATTTGTTGAAGATGTTTAAATCTAAACAAATTGTTTCTAGAGAGAAATCTTCGCGGAACAGTTAGCAGACGGGACTCTTATGGATGCACTGTCCAATTATGCTATCGCGACCTTAGCGTCCGTGTCGAATTTCTTTTAGTATTTCTGAATAATGATATTTTACTCATATACCTACTGTTGGTGTTTAAACTTCTGGACATAGCTTAAACAGTCTAGGATTTCATTTAATAAACAAAAATGCCTAAAGACATTTTATGAAAGTTCAGCAAAATGCTTCAGCACCTCATCGAAACCCTTTTGTCCCGGAGTTCACTCAGCAAAAAAAAAATGGATGCGTGTAACTTATGTACGCGCGTGAGAAGTTATACTTCTTTAGCATCATTAAAAATATTTTTTAATTGCATGCAAATAATTAATAATTACAATAAAATAATAAAAGGACTGGAAAAGGATAGTTAACACAGTCAATTAAGTTCAGTTTTAATTTGAAAAATTAAATAAATATTCAAAATATTCAATTAAAATCACTACTGAATTTAAGTTATTAGTCCATATGTAATTAGCACTTGTAAGTAACTAAAACACGTTGTGTCTATATAGAAACTAGAAACATGTGGATAAATATTATAAATATGAAAACAGTGATCAGAGGCGACGAGCGTGCCAACATTGTTTTTGACAACGCGATCATCTTATGGAGCTCCGTGGATCGTTCAAAGTACCTTTCGAACAGATGTCTATGTATGTATATTAACCACTAAGTGGTTAATAATCCACCATTATTAGACACTAACATTCATAACGCGCCCGCGGCCAACTTCATGGTGTTACTATTGTGTTACAGTGAAGCGCGCGCATCTCGAAATTTCACTCACATGATTTTTTCATAACGCGCCCGCGGCCAAGTTCATGCTGTTACTTTTGGGTTACAGTGATGCGCGCGCATCTAAAAATTTCACTCTCATAATTTTTTCATAACGCGCCTAAAGAAGTATAACTTCAAAAAGAGACTTTTTGTCGACGTATCAAAGCACTTAATCAATACAAGTACACTTATTATGTAAGCAGTGGCGGCGCTAGACCACATGTGGACGTCGGCGACATCAAGTTCGCGAGGCCTATTTTATTTCGCAGTAAAAAACCGTTAAATTAAGTGAGCCAAAATATAAAATAACGTATGAGTAAACGAGTTTTATTGTTGATGATCAAATGATGACAAAAAATAATTACAAACATAGAAATTTAATTATAAAAATAGTGTTGCCAGACAGACGATTCTGAATACCCGTGAAGTACTATTCGCTTCCATCACGCACGTGTTCGAAAATAATAAAAGTCATTATCATCTGCTTAGCTTTTTCCCCGAATTGTTCGGGGTCGGCTACCGCCAGGCCAGGAGAAACGAAAATAAATAGGTAACTTTGTAAAAAATTTTTGCGAGGCCACCGCCGACGGCCTCGCGCATGAGGGGGCCGATATGTAAGTGCTATTTCCCTCCAGTATCCGTACTTCGTGCTGTAAGTTAGCGGTACTTACCCGCGATGTAGTTAACCTACTCGACGTCTGGGAAGCGCTGCCCGACGCCTTTGTGGTCGCCCGCTTCCCAATGATTCTCCGTTTTGAGCCGACTTCTTGGGTGTACCAGTTACGGACTTTGTACGCTGGCTGTTGACTGTACAATAGGAGGAAGAGAAGCTCGATGGCGCAGGTGGCTGCGATCGTTGAAGTTAGGCAACTTTCGCAGTGGTCGGTCATTGGATGGGTGACCAAAAATCTTCTACCTCGAGTTCCTCCGTGCTTCGGAAGGCACGTTAAGCCGTTGGTTTCGGCTGCATCTGCAGGCGTTAGTACCCGTCAATCGGCACTGGGCCCGCGTGGTCATGGTTCAATCTCCCTATTCCATCCACAGGGAAGGCATGTTCCCCAGCAGTGGGGAGATTAATAGGCTGATGATGATGATGATGACTTACCTGCAAAGTACGCCGCCTGTTCGACGTCGGGGAAGCATTGTCCGACGGCGTGGTGGTCTCGCGCGTCCCTCACTAGATCCTCCGCGCGATTGTTAAGTGTCACCTTCCGTACGCAGCCTACGAACCCGCCCACGCGCACGATCTGTATCAATAAAGTAGAACATGAAAATACAAGAAAGCTGGAAATACTGGAAGGCTGCCGTTGAAAGAGTAACTTTAAATAGGCGAAACTGTAAAGTTTAAATTTGGGAGAAGGGCTGATGCACACTTCCTTAAGTACAATAGCCAGTTTAGTAATCGGAGAGTTAAGCAGTACGTAAGAAGTTAACTCGCCAAAACCGTAAATTAACTCGCTACTGAAGTGTAAAAGTAAATCAGCCAGAAGGATTAATTTCCACATTTGGTTCCACAATAGCATTTATCTATTTAGAAATCATTTACTGTTTCTATTTATATGGAATCAACTTCCGATTTTACGGTCCTTCGAGTTGGATCTGAATAATCGGACAACGGTTGCACTTAACGAAATTCAAGTGTGATTAGGGTCTCCACCTGATTGTGTCTGCGCATAGTCTGATAATATTAAAAATCATACCCACCAAAGGCTTGAATTGATTGAATTGAAATAGGTAGTACTGATGACGCCCAGAGGTAAGTCAGAGGCATAGACTTAGTATTTGAACACTAACATAGTCACGTCTTCATGAAAATTCTACAAGGTAGAAAGAGACGCAACGTGATGTACGTTTGGTCGCGCCGACTGCGACCCGCTCCATAGCGCCACGCGCGTGCGAGACACTTACCGCGGGCGGTAGGGCGCGTGGGGCGGCGGGCGCGGGCAGCCCGCCCACGTAGAGGCGCCGCGCGCGCGCCGGGCCCACCGTCGCAGCGCGCGCCGACTGCGACCCGCTCCATAGCGCCACGCGCGTGCGAGACACTTACCGCGGGCGGTAGGGCGCGTGGGGCGGCGGGCGCGGGCAGCCCGCCCACGTAGAGGCGCCGCGCGCGCGCCGGGCCCACCGTCGCAGCGCGCGCCGACTGCGACCCGCTCCATAGCGCCACGCGCGTGCGAGACACTTACCGCGGGCGGTAGGGCGCGTGGGGCGGCGGGCGCGGGCAGCCCGCCCACGTAGAGGCGCCGCGCGCGCGCCGGGCCCACCGTCGCAGCGCGCGCCGACTGCGACCCGCTCCATAGCGCCACGCGCGTACGAGACACCGACACCGATACCTGGGACACGTTACCATGACGACGTTAATTTCATTGACATGGAGAACGCTTTCATGAAATTAAAAACTCACAAGAAATAGTGAAAATACAGCTAATAACAAAAAGAAACCAAGATATACCTCTCGTTCTGAGTTCTACAAATGCAAGGACAATGTTTTGTTAAATGCTCATGAAAATTAATATAATAAAATACAATGTGTAAGTTACCGATCTCCACGTGCCATCGGCGACGAACGCGACCAGCGACAGCTCCCGCCGTTTGCGCCCGCGCACCACCAGCTTCAGCTTGCCCTCGCGGATCATCAGCGCCAAGTAATGCTTTGGTTTCGCCTTCGAGCCCTGTCCCAAAAAAATGTTTTAACGTAATTATTAGTATAGCAGATGATAATCAAAAAAAGACTTCGATGACATAGCGGCACGTTAAACCTTTAATTCTGTCCCCGTAGCATGAGCCACCACAATTTACATTATCTCACATCTTTTATCGCGTCTAACTATCAAACCCCATAGTTATTTGACAATTGAGAGTGATAAAAACGTGCTATATATCGCGGTGCTTATGCTAGGGGAGCAGTTTGGATGTAAAGTCGTTAAAATCGACCGATCCGAACTGAGGGATTTAGTAAGTCATGCCCCAATCTTCCTATTCCAACCGTAGGCGAAGGAAAGTTTTTTGTCTCAGCGGTAAGGACATTATTAGAATGATGATGATAATATGCCGGCGCCAGCATCAGGAGTCCATCAGGCTAGAAGATGTTGAAATTCCGACGAGAAGGCCAGCCCTCCGTCTATAAGCAAAGCCTGTGCCTCAGCAGTGACGACATTAATAGGCTTATGATGATAACATACCGGTGCTAGCACACCAGCAGTCCGTCAGGTTTGAAGGTCGAGAAGAACGCCAGCCCTCCATCTAGAAGCAAAGCCTGTGCCCCAGCAGTGAGGACATTAAAAGGCTTATGATGATAACATACCGGTGCCAGCACACCAGCAGTCCATCAGGTTAGAAGGTTCTGAACTCTGAGGGGAACGCCAGCCCTCCATCTAGAAGCAAAGCCTGTGCCTCAGCAGTGAGCACATTAATAGGTTAATGATGATAACATACCAGCGCCAGCACCAGCAATCCATCAGGTTGGAAGGTGCTGAAATCCAAGGAAAAAACCAGTTCTCCATCTTGAAGCAAAGCCTGTACCCTAGCTGTGAGGATATTAATAGACTAATGATGATAACATACCGGTGCCATCACCAGCAGTCCGTCAGGTTAGAAGGTTCTGAACTCCGAAGAGAACGCCAGCCCTCCATCTAGAAGCAAAGCCTGTGCCATAGCAGTGAGCACATTAATAGGTTAATGATGATAACTTACCAGCGCCAGCACCAGCAATCCATCAGGCTGGAAGGTGCTGAAATCCAAGGAAAAGACCAGCCCTCTGTCTAGAAGCAAAGCTTGTGCCCTATGTGTGAGGACATTAATAGGCTAATGATGATAACATACCGGTGCCAGCACACCAGCTGTCCGTCAGGCTGTAAGGTACTGAAATCCAAGGAAAAGACCAGCCCTCCATCTAGAAGCAAAGCCTGTGCCCTAGCTGTGAGGATATTAATAGACTATAATGCGATTCAAATAAGAATAGGAAAGCCAATGACCTCCATCTGTCAAATGTCGCTTGAAAAGTACGGCTTGCAAAAAAATCTCGGAGCCCTTTTTTAGCACTCAGCTTATCTATATATATAAAAATGAAACCCGTTTTCCGTTGTCACGACATAACATGAAAACGGCTTGACCGATTTGGCTGTTTTTTTTTTGTAGTTTTCTAATACTCTGTACAAGGTTCTTACGGAAAAAAATATAAAGAAAATCTCTCAGAAAGATTGAAAAATATAACATTACGAATGTCAACGTCATTCAATTTAAAACAAAAAATCTGTGGTAATCTGTGCCACCACATCGATAACAGCGCTGACAAATGTCAACGTCATTCAATTTAAAACAAAAAAATCTGTGGAATCTGTGACAACACATCCATAACCGCGCTAACAATGAATAGGTACTCATATATAAGATAGGTCAGCTATACAAAATAAAGTAGTGCATCAAAGCTACGCTAAGGCGGTACGAAGTTCGCCGGGTCAGCTAGTTATGGAATAAAAACCAAACATTTGTAAACAAACAATAACAAATATTGTTAATTTTTATTGGTTGATATTTTATTTTCATTTATTGAGCTTTGGCTATGAATGTTTGATAACCTAATCGTCAACCAAATGTCACTTTAAGTTGCGTTCAGAAACTCGATTTAAAACTTTGGTTTACATATAGGATGCATGTTCGTATGTGACCTAGTAATAGTGCATGATTATTCATAACTGGGTACTCCGGCGGTAATGCAGAGATGAGCGGAATTGAAGAGCTTAATTCTGATTAATGTTTTTCTCGCACAGTCTTAATGAATAAATATTATTAAAAATCGGCTATTTTCTTTTCTCAATTTTAGTTAATAAATTTTATTAAAAAATCGGATGTTTTTTCTCACTTAATCTTAGTAAATAAGTTTGATTCAATAAAAACTTTTTTGCTCACTCTACCTTTTTCGTTTGAATTGACAGCTATGACGTCACAATATGGCGCCCCGTCGATCCTATTCTTAGTTGAATCGCATTATAATGATGATAACATACCGGCGCCAGCACCAGCAGTCCATCAGGCTGAAAGGTGCGAAATTCCAATGAAAACACCAGCCCTCTTCCCTTCGCTGGCAATCGTAAAGCTGCGTGACTCCAAGGTGCATCGCCAAACTTCACTGCTCCAGCCTCTACTGTGTACGACGCTGACTGTGGACAATTGACAATTCATCAGGTTTTGGTAACGTAGAGAAAAAGAATGGTGGTGAAGTGTACGAGTAAGCAATGTACATCGTTAATACACGAAACTTTATTTATTTATTGACGTTTCGCAGCCTTTACAGGCTGGGCTGCTTCGTCGAAATCATTTTTTTTTTAATTTTGTCGAGCTACCTTTGAAAAACTTTTATTGAGCGTTCGGTCATTTCATTGTTCCATTTTTAAAGTTTTATTGTCTATGTATGAATTTATTACTTAATTTAGTTAATAAGTTTACTTTATAATTATGGGCGAAACGTCAATAAATAAATAAAGTTTCGTACATTAACCAGTGAAAAACTAGTTTTATTTAATGAGTGATGTGCGTGAAAACCTAAGAAACAAAAATGTACATCGTCTTATCATTGATTACTTTTTAAAGTGAAACTTTTTTACATCAGCGGTCTGAGCTTAGCAAATCTATTCGAGGGATCTAGCAACGGAAGGGCTTTTTATTATTATGAAATGATTTTAAAAGTTTAACTTGGATCGTGGTTTCATAAAATCACACCTTTTTTGTGATGGCCCTTTGAGCAGGTTGTATTATAAGTTCGTAAACATAAAGTAGGTAAGTACGCATAATTGAAAATTAAATCTGAATAAAATAATTTGAACTTAAGCACACTTTTGATTGAATGCACGATGACGTAAGTCGTTGGCGCGCTTGGTCCGCGATCGTAGAAGTTACAGGTCGCGGCATGTTACTCTAGCGCTTAACAAACCGCTCCTGGGATAATAATCAAAATCATAGTCAAATCATTTATTCAGTTTAGGCTGTCACAAGCACATATGAATGTCTAGAAGCTACGCCATCGGTTCGTTGTACTGAGAAGAACCGGGAAGAAGCTCAGCAAGGGCTGTTTTTTCTCCCTGTTTTACCATTTACAGAGTCGTCAAGTTGAAAAATGACTTCAGAGATGATTCATGAAGTCACCTTTCATTACATAATGTGAAATTATACATTAATTGTTCACCTGCATTTTGATTGCTGTGTCACACAGTATAAATACATATAGAGTTATTTATAATGGGTGTAATTAAACATTTACATCTTAAATATCAAAGTAGTTAGGGCAGACTCATCTCCGCTGGCAGCACCCGTTCACGAGCATGACGCATGAACCAGCCATCGCTTCGCTCAACCATATTTTAGGGAACGTAACGATCCGCCTCACACGATATCTGCGCATGGGCACGACTGTAGAGACAATCGGCGCAGGGCACGCCCACCCGCGCACCTCGTTTCCCCCCAACACATCTTAATGTTGACTTCTGCGCAATAACGGACAGCGCTAGAGTTTCGTGTCGCGACTTATACAGGATGTTACAAAAATACAAAAAAGCTTGAAGGGCGTTGAAGTACATCATATAAGGAGTTTTCTCTAATTTTTTTTTTTAATATTTGAATGAAGTTTTAACTTTTTATAAAAACAGATATTTTTAATGATAAATAAAAATATCGATCATTTTAAGACACGTCACTAGTTCGAGGATCATCAAAAATAACTGTTTTTATAAAAAGTTAATACTTCATGCAAATATTTTAAGAAAATTAGAGAAGACTCCATATATGATGTACTTCAACGCCCTTCAAGCTTTATTTGTATTTTTGTAACACCCTGTAGATCGCGGCACGTTACTCTAGCGCTGAGCAAACCGCTGGGGGGATAGCTGCGCATGGGCACGATTGGAGAGACAATCGGTGCAGGGCACGCCCCGCCCCACCCGCACACCTCGTTTCCCCCCCAACACACCTTAATGTTGACTTCTGCGCAATAACGGTCAGCGCTAGAGTTTCGTGTCGCGACTTATAAGCTTACCTTAGTGCATGGCGCGGCGTCATCAGGGGCGGCATGCAGAGGTCGGGGCGCGCCGCCCGCCCCCCGCGCCGCGCCCGCCCCGCGCCCCTCGCGCGCCCCGTGCCATGACCGTGCAGTCTCCAGCCCTACTAACCTGCGCACATTGTAATAGGGATAGGGTACGGTCAGAGTGCACTCAGATTCAGATTCAGATTCTGAAAACAAGCACGAGAAATAAACAGTGTAGTCGAAGGGTACGGCCAGAGTGCACTCCTGATTCAGATTCAGATTCAGACTCAGAAAACAAAGCGTGAGAAAAAGCAGGCAACCTGCTTAGATTACACTGTTTATTTCTCGCGCTTGTTTTCGGAATCTGAATCTGAATCTGAGTGCACTCTGGCCGCACCCTTAGTCATCATTATCATTGTTCGGGATGTACCGAAACTAAGATACTGATGAAATGATAAACTTGATAACTTGATAATAAAGTATATTTTGGTAACTGAACAATAACTTAAAACAATACTAATTGATATAAAAATGATTGTTATGAATGAGTACGCGCACGGCTTACTTGATAGCTAATTGCGAACTAACTTGTAAGTAATTGACGATTATTGAAAATAATAAAATAAGGTCAATTAGTAAAACGATGAGCGGGCGAAATGTACGTAGCTTGCTCGTACAATCATCATCAGCCTATTAATGTTTCCACTGCTGGGGCACAGACCTTCCCTATGGATAAAATAGGGAGATTGGGTCATGACCCACCACGCGAGCCCAGTGTGGATTGGCGGGTGCTGAATGCGATCGTTGTAGTGAAGCAACTTTCGCAGTGGTGGGTCATTGGATGGGTGACCAAAAATTTCTATCTCGAGTTCCTCCGTGCTTCGGAAGGCACGTTAAGCCGTTGGTCCCGGTTGCATCTGCAGTCGTTAGTACCCGCCAATCCGCACTGGGCCCGCGTGGTGGGTCATGGCCCAATCTCCCTATTCCATCCATAGGGAAGGCCTGTGCCCCAGCAGTGGGGACATTAAGAGGCTGATGATGATGATGATGATGATCATTATTTATTGCGTCATGCATGTGTAACATAAAAGATGATAAATAGGGTTAGTACTAGAAAGAATTGAAGAATTTACTCTTATTGAGCGTTGGGTTATTTCATTGTTCGATTTTTAAAGTTTATAAATTCATACATAGACATATGTATGAATTTATTACTTAATTTACTTAATAAAGTACTTTATAATTAGCTAATAGAAATTTCGTATGCGTTAACGCATCATACTCACTGTGCGTCCACGATAACGTCAGCTATGGTTCCAGTGAACCCTGTGGTAGGGAAAGAGGCGTTGTAGCCGCCCATAGTGTCATTGACCCCGCCCAGGAACAGCCCGTGCGGCCGCGCGGGTATCGCGCCGCCCGCCAGCGTGCCGTGCGTCTCTAGTACGTCGTCCACCCATAATTCTAGCTGAAGGCAAGCACTCGCAGTTAGTTTTTAAACAACACAGTTTCATGGCGGCTCCACATTAGCGCCGTGAATTCACGTGCGAATTCATGCCATGAATTCACGGCACAAGTCGTGCCCTCCACATTCACGGGATGCTCACAATCGTTCGTGAAACCCGGCGCGAAATGGACGTAGAAGCTGCTGCAGCAATAACTTTGTTTGCTGTAGCAATATGTCACTATTTAGACGTACAAAACAAGAGAGTAATTAGAAAGCTTTGGAAAAAAAGAGGATGGTAAATGACTTCAATACATCGTAACCGATCAAAGTATGTTTGCTTGTGTAGTGAATTTTTGAATTGACTTAGTATTATTAATTAATTAGTGATTAGAACTGTCTTTATTAACCACATAAAATTCATATCAGACTTTCTATGGAGAAGCAGTTATCAGAATTACATTCTGAGCCCAGTGGCGAATTCAAAACCTGAACGTCGCGCGAAGGAGGCGCGAACCCTTTGTTGCGGTACAAAATACCGACTCTGATCGGGGAACAGGCGTGAACACGCGTGAATGTGGCGAAAACCGTCCACATTCACGTTCACGCCTGTTCACGGAGCTTCACGGCACTAATGTGGAGCCGCCATCAGATATAATTTCTATTTTTGATGTGAAACATCTTTTGGCGCACGTAAAACCGACTTCTGGCGTGGCAACGCTCAGTACGGCGCCAGCGCCCTTCGAGGCAGGACCTATGTAATTTTTTAACGCACGCATACCGAGTAATTCTTCCGAGTGTATTTATCGTAAACCGGCTAGTGTTTCACATCTGCCAGGCCCAGGCGTCAGTTACGGCTCACATTTTTTTAAGCATGTAACTGCTCGATGATTGAATCTAAACAAAATATTTTGTATATATTGTGGGTTACCTACAATGCGAAGAGATGGCGCTGCCTTGCAGCTTTAGAAAGGCTAGAAAGAATTCGACACGGCCGTCAGGGCCGCGGTAGTATAATGGTCAGTGCATTCGCGCGGATAGCGAAGGGTGCGGGTTAGAGTCCCGTTTGCTGCCTGGTCCGCGTGTATTTTTTCAAGTAATATTTTCTTTATTAACACAGTTTTAGCCATTCTCACTAGCCTGACCACAACTCTCCTCCAAAAATTTTGTACTTGTTATATTAATATGGCCTTCCATAAGTCTATATGTAACTCATAGGCATTGTCCTAATACAACGCGATAACGCGATCATCGCGCGTTTAAACGATGCGACCATCGCGTGATCGCGAACTGGGTGTCCTAATAGAACGCGAATACGGAACGGGTTAGCCCTGCCCCTCTCCCCGCTTAATATCGACGCGACGCGATCATCGCGCGAACTTCAGTTAGGACACCTATTCATCATTAATAGATTTGCGAACGCGCGTTCGCGCGAATAGAATTTTAAACATTTTAGTCGCGCGAATGCATCGCGCGATCGCCTATTAGGTCACCTATTCTAGATCAATATGTTTGATCGTCGACTCGTACGATGATCGCATCGCTCATTCGCGTTATCGCGTTGTATTAGGACAATGCCATAGGCCTCTTGATGAATCATTAATGTCGAAATAAGTTTCTGTAAAAATTACAGGGCGCGCTTATGCTGCAGTGAGCCGTGGAAGAACGTAGTATTATCGTAGAGTGGTTTACTCATGTGTCATTTATCTTCTCTCAATTTGTTGCATTTTAGCTTTTCCCATTAACAATATTAATATAATAATAACTGTTATTTAATGAAATAAATAAACTACTTATAAATAAAATACTGTCGCCAACATAAAGAATTTACAGCCAAGGTAGATAATGTCAAACGTGTCATAATTGACTATAGGAGTTCACTTCTTTTTGGTATATTGACAATTCCATGAGGGAATATGGTGTGAAACAATGTGATCATCATCATCATATCAGCCGTACGACGCCCACTGCTGGACATAGGCCTCCCCCAAGGATCTCCACAACGATCGGTCCTGCGCTGCCCGCATCCAGCGTTTTCCCGCGACCTTCACCAGATCGTCGGTCCACCTTGTAGCGGGTCTTCCCACTGAGCGTCGACCGGCACGCGGTCACCATTCAAGAACCTTTCCGCCCCAACGGCCATCGGTTCTCCTCGCTATGTGTCCCGCCAACAATGTGATAAGAACTGATTAAATACCTGCTTGTGCACCCTGATGATCCGTACGGCGTGCAGATGATCGTCGTCAAATTTCGTTCCGTTCGTGCGCAGGCGCAGCTCTGCTTTGCCAGCGGCCGCTATTAATTGCAAATCCCCTGCAATAGAAAATGATATTAGTTATAATATAATGGTGCCGATTCTAGCATCGTTCTTTCAACTTAAATTTGCAAACAATGTACAACAATGTTGTATGTTGTATTAAATTAAATTTTTAGTTCAGAGAATCTTGCCAGAAACGCTACCATTGTTAGACAGCAGTTTCTCTGCCGCATCAGTTATTTTAATATCAGGTGGGGTGGACTAATCTGCTAAGTCATGAATAGGAAAAGGGAAATATTTAATGATCTTCAAAAAAAAGTAAAAGAAATAAACTCTTTAAGGTTGGGATAGGTTACCAATTTACCAATTTTTAAGGGTCATTTAAATATGAGCAGAAAAATGTGATGTTCTCCATCTACGCATAGGAATAAACTGTTTTCTTCTACTTCCATCAGGGAAGGCTTGTACCTCAGCAGTCGGACATTAAAAGGCTGGTGAAAGTGATGATATAATAATAATAAGCACATCTGCAAGAAGATACCTTCAATTATCATCAGGGCCAGGTAGTGGTTCTCGTGTTCTGTATTCGCAGCATCAGCCATATCCGGGGTACGGTATAGCAGGAGGCCGGGACCCCGAGCTCGGAAACTGATCCCGATGGAGCTCTTGCGTTTGAGTGCGGGAGACGACAGCTCGATGAAGCCCGAGCCTTCGAAGGCAGCAGACCTGACCATCTGCATGCAATTGTTGATTGAAATTATTTATTGCATGCGTTGAAATATTAAACAATTCTAAATGTAAGTTCTGTTTCAGTATTTGTATAATATGGGTTAAAAATATATGAAATATAACGTGTGATGAGAAGCTCGAAGGCGCAGGTGGTTACTTTCGGTCTGCGATCATGAAAGTTAAGCAACTTTCACAATGGTCGCTCATTGGATCCGTGCTTCGAAAGCCACGTTAAGCAGTTGGTTCTAACTGCATCTGCAGTCGTTAGCATCCATCAATCCGCATTGGGCCTGCGTGGTGGGTCATGGCCTATCTCCCTATTCCACCCGTAGGGAAGGCCTGTGCCCCAGCAGTGGAGAATTTAAAAGGCTGATGATGACAAACGTGTGATAGTAACAAAAAAGTGATTTTTTAACTCTTAGAGCCTGCGCTACGTTAAGCGGGTGCAGCTCCCGCTACCGGTCACCGCAGACTCTTGATTGTAGGTACCTTTTATGCATTATCTATTCTTAGGTAGGTATGCTAGACGCCGGCCCAGAGTATACTATCGTTAAAGTACTATACTAATCCGTGGCTCACACGAGGCCACGTGCTTATGCCCCGCGGACGTATCGAGTAAACTGTAGAGATCTCGGTCGATAGTATGGTCACCCTTAGGGACGCGCCACCCAGAAGAGTATATCATCGGCTAGTAGCCGATAAATTGACAATATTGACACCCGGCTCACACGACGCTCGAGGTCTTGTCTCGCTGTTGTATCTAGACAGGTGTTGTTTAACTGTGACGCCGCCCAACCAGTCCCGCGAGGGCGGGTCTGGGGGAGCGGCCTCCCGCCGAGGTCGGGCAGCGTGGCCACTGAATCGATGGAGGTATTGGTACCATACTGACCCGTGGCTCACACGAAGGCTCCAACCCATGTCTTGCTGGCGTGTCGAGCAGGCTATAGAGATGTCTGTCAACAGTGAGGCCGCCTAGACAACCTCGTAAGGGCGGCACGACGGCGGCTCCGAAACCGGAGGACAGTCCGCCGCCCAGCTCGGGCAGCGCGGCCGCTGAAGCGACGTGACCGAGGTATTGTACCATACTCACCCGTGGCTCACACGAAGGCTCCAGCCCGTGTCTTGCTGGGGTGTCGAGCAGGCTATAGAGATGTCTGTCAACAGTGAGGCCGCCCAGACAACCGCGCATGGGCGGGACGAGGGCGGCTCCGCAGCCGGGGAACATTCCGCTGCCCAGCTCGGGTAGCGTGGCCGCCGAAGTGACGCGACGGAGGTATTGTACCATACTCACCCGTGGCTCACACGAAGGCTCCAGCCCATGTCTTGCTGGCGTGTCGAGCAGGCTATACAGATGTCTGTCAACAGTGAGGCCGCCCAGACAGCCGCGCAGGGGCGGCGCCAGGGCAGGCGCGCCCGGGGGCCGGCCGCCCGCCCAGTAGCGCGCGCCGCCCAGTTCTGGTAGCGCGGCCGCCGACACGACGGGCGGCTCCGCAGAGCCGAGTGTTTCTGCGCCGTTCACGCGCAGGCTGCCTGCCCGCAATCATATTATTAGAGACTATCGAAAGACATGTCGCTCCAGGGGCGTATATAACCTAAGGCCATAAGGGCATAGAGCAACACGGAAGGGACATAATACATACGACATATTATAATTTAAATCATTCTGCCATTTTTTTCATCCAAATTCTCTTATTAAAGCATTGGTGCAGAAGAGAAGCAGCAACGTCAAAAGACTCAAAAGAAAAGATATTCTTGACGATTAAGAGAGGTTGAATCAATAACTTTGCTCCTCTCAAACGTGATGAACAATTCAACAAAATAACTTACCTATCTAATCTGGTGAGTATGATAAAAAAAACGAGCGGGCCTTACAGTAGTCGCGTATGATGTGTAACATTTGAAACCTCACCTTATTAGTAAAAAAAGAAATAAAACCTACTACAACAGGAATAAGCCATTTGAACATTATGTTCTAAAATCAAATAACGCGCGCCTTTGGGACTTCCTGTTCACACTTCCGTCCCATTTCACGAAATCACTCCCACAAATTGCAGGAAAGCGAGAGGTTACATATCGTCGGTGATATTCTGAAACCGCGGAACTAACAGTGTTTAAAACCGCGTATTTACAAAACTAGCAAAATCGAGATTTCGCGGGCTTAGCTTCGTTGTAGTGATTGGCTGCGTTCTGTGATGATGGCTGGGCCTATTATTCAATAGGAAGCCGTGGAATCGAATGTCTTTTAATCCGCGTAACGTCAGGTGATTGTTTATTGTGCCCAAACCGCGTATGCATGTAACTTGCTACTGGTTCGACGAAACCGCCTGTGAATTAAAAGCTACCACTTACGCATCATTTTTCATTGATTATTTGACTAAGTTATTAGAAGAAGATTGCAGGGATGTTGTCATCTGGACGGATGGCTGCACTGCACAGAACAGAAACTCAATAGTTTCTGATGCCCTTATAAGATTAGCAGTAGACAAAAATACAACAATTACAGAAAAGTATCTGGAAAAAGGTCACACTCAAATGGAGGTTGCCTCCGTTCACTCCGTAGTGGAAAGAAAACTGAAAAATGTTGAAATTTTTCTTCCTTCTCTTCCTCAACCACTATCCACCCACTGCTGAGTGAAGGTCTCTTCCATTGCACTCCATCTATTGCGATCTCGGGCAGACTGCATCCATTTCGCTCCGGCTATCCTAATGATGTCATCTGTCCACCGGGCTGGTTGACGCCCCACGTTTCTGCGTCTGGTTCTCGGCCTCCATTCCATTGCCTTTCTGCTCCACCTGCCATCCTCGCGTCTACAGACATGTCCCGCCCATTTCCATTTGCTGCGGGAAATTACACAAGCGATGTCAGGTAACTCTTCCTTCTCAGTATGCCTCAATTACAAAAGAAGCCAGGAAGCATCCTTCTCCATACCAAGTTTTTCAACCAGATTACACCTTTTTTAAAGACTACAGTCTAAAAGAATACCAAATTTATGATTCCATTCGTCCTGGGCGTTCTGCTGCGATTGCGTAGTGGATCTGAGGGTTTTAAAGTATAATCCTAACGGCACAATAGAGTTTAAAAAACACTTTAAAGATGATTTCAGCCCACTTCATCGGAGACCAAAACCTATTTCAGCTGTAGTTATAATGTACCTCCCCTGTATTCATCTAGACTGCCTATATTAGACAGTAAGTATCAGCACTTACAGCAATTAAAGAGTGTGATACCTGCAGATAGACACTTATTTTACGATAATTTGCCATTTAAGAAAAAGTAATGTTTCATTGATCTCATTTTTAACAAAGACCTCAATGTGCAATTATTATTCTACTCAGAAGTAATATTTATATACGTTTTTTTCTTCATTTTTAGTTTTAACTGTTAATTAGTAAGTACCCTCTCAACAAGGTATGTTTAACACACTTAGCTATAAAGAGCTACTTTTTTTTAACATTATGGGGACTTATGGTCTTAATTTCCTGTATATTGTTGATTACCTAATGTACCGGTGTTAAATATGTGCCAAAAATTAAACTCTGAAGTTGACTTAATAAATAATTATAGGATGTTGATTGTATTCTTTTGTTTTATTTCGGCGGACAATTCCGCTTAAGTGACATAAAAAAACTCATTTTGATTTTATTTGAGATAATAAAACCGCGAAAGTCGATTTACTAATTAATTAATACATATTTAACATAACTAATGCCTACAATACCAAGAAGAATATTATAATTTGACAATTTAAATGTTTAAACAATAGAAAGTCATGTAATTCAGTAAATATTATGTTTTTCTTCGTTCCTGTAAAATTCACTGCACCTACCTTACGCGGTTTTAAACACTGTTAGTTCCGCGGTTTCAGAATATCACCGACGATATCAAAAAATTAAAAAATGGAAGGCAATATGCGCGTTTGTGTGCATATTCCCACCGCATTTTTTATTTTTTTCCCGCATCTTAGAGACGTAGGGTGTTAAATTAGGTCACACATCACAGACTCAGTAGTAGGCTGCATTGGATGGGTGATTAAAAATTTACTATCTTGAGCTCCTTCGTAATTCAGAAGGCACGTTAAGCCGTTGGTTCTGGCTACATTTGCATTCGTTAGCACCCACCAATCCACACTGGGCGCACATGGTGGATCATGACCCGATCTCCTTATTCCATCTATAAGGAACGCCAGTGCCCCAGCAATGAGGACATTAAAAGAATGATAGGTACAGACAAGTATTTTTTTATTCTTAAACTGCACCTTTGATGCAGTGTCTATTGTAGATAGGAGGATTCGCAAACCTTGTTAAGGATATTAATGTTTATTTGAACGGAGGTCTGTGGTATACGAAGGAATAAACCTATCATCGGCTAGTAGCCAATAATGTACATTACCGACCTTACATGAGGGCTCGATGGAGCCTATGCCTCGCGGGCGTGTCGACCTATCTCCTTATTCCATCCATAGGTAGGGCTTTACCCCAGCAGTAGGGATATAAATAGGCTAATAATGATAATGAGGGCACAGATCGGCGGGTAGGTAAGTTATGTAAGGTACCAGTTAACATCCACTGTTCAAAATTTGTAGCATGTAATTAATTAATGTCATTAATGTAATTTTAAGAAGTTAAGGCACAGATCGAGGAGCTCGATGGCGCAAGTGGTTAGCCGTTCGGCTGCGATCGTGGAAGTTAAGCAACTTTCACAGTGGTCGGTCATTGGATGGGTGACCAAAAATTTAGTACCTAAAGCTCCTCCGTGCTTTTTTTTTTATTTAATTTATTTAATCAAGCAATATTACAATTATAATACATATTATAGTGCAAACAAAAACCAGAAAGGTTTATTCGTGCACTATTCTTCTGCTTCGGAAGGCACGTTAAGCCGTTGGTCCCGGCTGCATCTGCAGTTGTTAGCACCCACCAATCCGCACTGGGCCCGCGCGTTGGGTCACGTTCTCCCTATTCCATCCATAGGGAAGGCCTGTGCCCCAGCAGTGGGGACATTAAAAGGCTGATGATGATGATGATGATGATGAAGGCACAGATCAGCGGGGAGGTTGGTTACCTCTCTCAAGCTTGTTCCCAGCGAATACCCTCGCAGCCTGCACGTGCGCCAATTGTCCGTCGCAGTGGTTCGCGCGGTCGGCGATCTCCAGCCGCGCGCCGCTGTACTGCACCAGGAATACCACGCGGCAGTCCCGCATTATCACCGACACCGACCGGTTCTGGAGGACAATATACAATCTACAGCAACAACGACACTTATATAAAGACAGGGCGCCGCTGTACTGCACCAGGAATACCACGCGGCAGTCCCGCATTATCGCTGACACCGACCGGTTCTGGAGGACAATATACAATCTACAGCAACAACGACACTTATATAAAGACAGGGCGCCGCTGTACTGCACCAGGAATACCACGCGGCAGTCCCGCATTATCACTGACACCGACCGGTTCTGGAGGACAATATACAATCTACAGCAACAACGACACTTATATAAAGACAGGGCGCCGCTGTACTGCACCAGGAATACTACGCGGCAGTCCCGCATTATCACCGACACCGACCGGTTCTGGAGGACAACATATAATCTACAGCAATCACGACACTTATATGAGGACAGGGCGCCGCTGTACTGCACCAGGAATACCACGCGGCAGTCCCGCATTATCGCTGACACCGACCGGTTCTGGAGGACAATATACAATCTACAGCAACAACGACACTTATATAAAGACAGGGCGCCGCTGTACTGCACCAGGAATACCACGCGGCAGTCCCGCATTATCACTGACACCGACCGGTTCTGGAGGACAATATACAATCTACAGCAACAACGACACTTATATAAAGACAGGGCGCCGCTGTACTGCACCAGGAATACTACGCGGCAGTCCCGCATTATCACCGACACCGACCGGTTCTGGAGGACAACATATAATCTACAGCAATCACGACACTTATATGAGGACAGGGCGCCGCTGTACTGCACCAGGAATACCACGCGGCAGTCCCGCATTATCGCTGACACCGACCGGTTCTGGAGGACAATATACAATCTACAGCAACAACGACACTTATATGAGGACAGGGCGCCGCTGTACTGCACCAGGAATACCACGCGGCAGTCCCGCATTATCGCTGACACCGACCGGTTCTGGAGGACAATATACAATCTACAGCAACAACGACACTTATATAAAGACAGGGCGCCGCTGTACTGCACCAGGAATACCACGCGGCAGTCCCGCATTATCACTGACACCGACCGGTTCTGGAGGACAATATACAATCTACAGCAACAACGACACTTATATAAAGACAGGGCGCCGCTGTACTGCACCAGGAATACTACGCGGCAGTCCCGCATTATCACCGACACCGACCGGTTCTGGAGGACAACATATAATCTACAGCAACAACGACACTTATATAAAGACAGGGCGCCGCTGTACTGCACCAGGAATACCACGCGGCAGTCCCGCATTATCACTGACACCGACCGGTTCTGGAGGATAATATACAATCTACAGCAACAACGACACTTATATAAAGACAGGGCGCCGCTGTACTGCACCAGGAATACCACGCGGCAGTCCCGCATTATCACTGACACCGACCGGTTCTGGAGGATAATATACAATCTACAGCAACAACGACACTTATATAAAGACAGGGCGCCGCTGTACTGCACCAGGAATACCACGCGGCAGTCCCGCATTATCACTGACACCGACCGGTTCTGGAGGACAATATACAATCTACAGCAACAACGACACTTATATAAAGACAGGGCGCCGCTGTACTGCACCAGGAATACCACGTGGCAGTTCCGCATTATCACTGACACCGACCGGTTCTGGAGGACAATATACAATCTACAGCAACAACGACACTTATATAAAGACAGAGCGCCGCTGTACTGCACCAGGAATACCACGCGGCAGTCCCGCATTATCACTGACACCGACCGGTTCTGGAGGACAATATACAATCTACAGCAACAACGACACTTATATAAAGACAGGGCGCCGCTGTACTGCACCAGGAATACCACGCGGCAGTCCCGCATTATCACTGACACCGACCGGTTCTGGAGGACAATATACAATCTACAGCAACAACGACACTTATATAAAGACAGGGCGCCGCTGTACTGCACCAGGAATACTACGCGGAAGTTGTGCATTATCACCGACACTGACCGGTTCTGGAGGACAACATTTTGACGTGATAATTCGTCAATTGTCTTATAAATGGATAAACAACGGCTGCGTACACGTGACGTCATGTCACGAGTCACGTTATGTGACGTCCAGTCACGTTAGTTTTAATAACAGGTTCCTTTAACCCCCTCCCTGGACCCCCACCCTCCTCCCCTTCGAGGAGTAGCTTACTCCTGCGGAGCTTTACTTGGGCCCCCATAGGGCTACAGAGGTGTGCTAAGGCTCAAAAGAGCCAGAACAAAAAGGCCCACAAAACTGCCCCCAGGAAAACAGTAAACGACACGTTATCACGTAAAATTATCGTCCGTAAACCAACTTTATAGACAACCATTTTTTTTATATTTAAAATGACTCCATCCCACCCTGATGGTAAGTGGTGGTGATCCCAGAACATAGCGGGTGCAATGCATCAGCAATGCAGAACTGTCACTCATAATATCCTATAGAGATCCTTGTCGTACTTTACTCGTGCCCGCCACGTGTCATCTACACACCAACGATATACTATCGTTGAGCGTCACACGCACGTTGGGCACCTCCGACTCCTCCCACACAGGCCACAAACACCAACACTACACAGTTAGCATACTTGCACACTAGCTTAGCATTAGGCAAACACCGCACCCGTAGGATAAGAGTGCGAAGACCCGGTCTACACACGACACGCTATACCAGGTACAGGTACGTACCTGGACGTTTTTCCCCGCCCCCCACGACAACGGCTAACTAGAGCCGAGGTCCGAGTCTCAGAGACGCCCTCTAGTTGAACCAACCCTCAGGTTGAATTTGTCAGAAGAGACTCCCCGCGGGGAGATGCCATCAGCCTGGAATACCTCTAGAGGCACTCGCCAATCCAATGCTGGCAGAAGTGAAAACTTGAATATTAACGTTGTGCATTTTTGATATTTTGGAATGGTTAGAGAATAATTTTGCACGGATTGCTTTAATTATCAGTATAAAAGTATTATCATGTATGTGGTAGAATACAATATTTATTTATTACGCTATTGTACACAAAGATGACAATTTATATTACATTAAAAAAGTTTATCTCTCAGAAAAATCAACTTACATGAATCACGTTTAAGCGCACTTAGCGACATCTATTGTAAAGAAATCAACTTACATGAATCACATTTAAGCGCACCTAGCGACATCTATTGTAAAAAAATGAATTTTCTTCGCAACAAAGCTGCCACGCGGACGTCCTAGATTATCGCTTATTATTATAATACGGTAAAATAAAATATTACTATGTTTCGTCCAATATATTGAAAGTCGACAACCTTTCCAATTTTATTGTGTGTCATGATGCGATCAGCCCACGAGTTTAACCTGACGTGAGTTTAACATTTTTTGCCGATGCAAAAAAAAGTTTACAACGCCGCTAATAAAGTTTTCACTTCAAAAACTTACGTTGGGCTCGTCCAGCGCGGTGAACAGCAGCGCGTGCGGGTCGCGCGTGCGGAACGTAAAGGCGACACTGAAGTGTCGTCTGTCCGTGCGGCGGCCTCCCGGAAGCTCCGCGTAACCGGCGCCGTCCAGCCACACCATATCACCGCCCGCGCCCAAACCCGCACGACTACTACGGCGCCATCTATGCAATAAAAAAAACATTTATTTCAAGCAACATCTCTTATCTATTAGACAAGTCCGTCCGTCCGTCTGTGGTGCTGTTTCAGCGGCCAAACCGTAAGAGATAGATATAGAGAATGTTTAAGTTATAAGCTAAGAATAGTCTGATAAGACTACAAACCGGATGTGAGTAACGTAGCACTTCCGGTTTTCGAGAAATCACGTGATTTCGATTTCAAACGAAACCACACAAAATCTCCGAAGTTCTCAATTAATTAAATACATTTTTTTTTTGGTGAACATTTGGTTCACTGGTTTGCTAGTCTCTTATCTATTAGACGAGTCCGTCTGTCCGTGGTGCTGTTTCAGCGGCCAAACCGCAAGAGATAGATAAAGAGAATATTTAAGTTATAAGTTAAGAATAGTCTGATAAGACTACAAACCGGATGTGAGTAACGTAGCACTTCCGGTTTTCGAGAAATCACGAATTACACACAAAATCTCCGAAGTTCTCAATTAATTAAATACATTTTTTTTTAAATCAGGTTTTGGTGAACATTTGGTTCACTGGTTTGCTAGTAACTCATAATCATTATAGTAGGGGAGTCTTAGTCTTAGTAGTACGGCGGGCTGTTTCCGCAACTCGACACCCAGTGCCTATTTTGCGTGGGGATTGGCATCAGTCCTGCCATCCCAGCTCCTCCAGAAAGCTCAGCAGTCCCCGAATGTTGCTGCAGGCCTCTACTATTGTCTTCGGGCTTCCCATTAGAGATTATAGTAGGGGAACCCAAGCGGGGATTTTTGGATTTACTCGAGCGCGGCAGAATAACATATGGTGAGCAACTTTGCACGTAGTTAAGTACTCCCACTATACCTCAGCCATTTATGTAGGGCCGAACGTCTAGGGCAGCAAAAACAAAATTTCAATAAACGGCCATGACTTTTGGTCGGGTCCAAATCGTCAGTCTTTTGAATAGGAGCTACTGGAGGGTTCATGTAACGTTTCTAAGAACGGAAAAATAGTGACTGGGAAATGGGTACATGTCACTCAAAATACAACTAATATTTATTTAATTTAAAATAATTCAAAACAGTAGTTATTTTATTAAATATAATAATTAAGGTTAAAGTCAACAGATTAATTATATCACAAAGAAAAATATGTTAATAAATTACGATACAAAATGGAGTTTTCTCTGAAGTAAAAACTTTGTGCACTTTTGGAATTGATAAAAGCACTAAACCGCGTGATCGGTGTGTCTATGAAGGTTTAATACGTCATGAGTGAAAAACATAAGAAGACTAATGATAATTATGTATGTTTAACTATATTTATCAGAAGTGACTGCGGATCAAATAGATTTATGCAATAAAAAGTTGCCAGTAATAAATTATAATAATAAATATTTCCAACACTCGCACCAAGTAGCCTAGCCCCAAAGTATACACTGTAAGGTTTGTGGTATGGGGTAACGGGTAGAATACATATACTGTACATATATAAGAATATTTATATAGAAATGCATATTTAAACGCCCATGACTGGAGTAGAAATGCTCGTATTCATCACACAAACATCTGTACAAACACCGGGGACCTCTCGAGTCGGTGACACCATGAAACCCGGCGTACAAACCACTCGGCCACGGAGGTCGTCAGAACTTGACGTTGAGATGTTGCTGAACATTGACTGGAATTTTTTATTGCATAATAGTTTATTGCCAGAAAGTTTTTGGAGATACTAAGAAATAAACCGAAATTAAGGACGTCGTCAATCACTACGTACTTCTCGTAAATCCTTAGACACTTGATGTCTTTAAATTTGTCACATACCTACACTGTATTATAAATAGATGAGAGATCATAATCCCTAAATCAAAAGGGTATTTGACAAGTTTTCGAAAACGATCTCACGTTATTGACTAATGTCATATAAATCATTCTGTTGTGTATTTCAGTAAAAATAACCAAATTAAAAACTCCATTTTCAAGTTGCCGCGAAAACGTTTTTTTGGACAATATGGCGTCTTACTAGTGTGTGACGTCACACGACTGTTATTAAAACGTCAAACGATACAATGTAATGTCACTTTAACCGGAAGTTTACTTGCGTGTGACGTCATTTTAGGCTCCGCCAATCCCAAGCGTTTTGGGTCACGTGACAATAAATAAGAAAATTAATTATTATCTCTTTCGTGGGTTTTTAGTAAAATTAAGCATATTTTTTTTGTAAAAATAGTAAAAACTCCTGCTAATATTCATTCTAAACACAGTTGCTAACAATTGGCACTTTATATAATAAGCCCTTCAAGTTTATAAAGGCTGATCATGAAGACACTTAGTTCCTAACCTCTGTGTGCATCCCGTGCATTGCGCATTAGGCGGTTGATGCCGGAAGTTCCATAAGCCCAGACTTGCTCCGTCGTACTGAACGCCGTGCACGCAGCCCGGCAGACCGCTGCCGCCTCCACTACTGCCCAACCACAAGGTAGTGGGCGTAAACTGAGTACCGCCAGCCCCGCTACTGTTGCTGAAGGTCGTTGGGCTGATACCGCCGTCGAGTCGCTCCACGCGCAAGGTGACTGTGTTCCAAACCCTGGAACGATCATAATTTAAATTCTATGTTAACTAGAGAGTTCATTTTATAGCTTCTTACCTAGTGGATAGTCCAACAGATTTTAAGCGTGAAAAAACTTATTTAACATGACTCTCTTGCGATAAATTGTATGTAGTTATCGCATAAAACAAACTTAAGAGTTTCGGTTTAGCAAAACACAAAATCAGGCGAAAATGTACCACAATACTAAAAAAAGATCACGTGATAGCGGCACTTCACTTGGGCATTCGTATTGGCCTTTTTGTCATTTTTGACAAATAATCAACAAGTGTGGTTAGTTTGATCGACAAAACATTTGCATTATTGAAAAACATCAACATATTTGACAACTAGGACAAATGATCGTCATTTCGCTAATCTGTGGTTTTGCGTTATTCGGCACCACGTGTGGCTGGCTTTTTGGCATAAAAATAGATAAAGAATAGTAAGTCTATGGATGTAATGTCTATGGTTTTAGTTATTGGCATGTTTGTGGATAAGTATGGTAAGTAAATTTGACAAAACATTGACTTTATTTGCTTATTTAGCAAACAGGACAAATACACACACGCGCTACCCCGCCGTTGTCGGTTCTTCTTTTTTTTTTTTTGGCTTGCATGGCTTGTGAATTTGCCACTACTAGTAGGAAAGGTAGAGCAACTGATTTTAGGAATCATAATCAATGGGAAGAATTGTTACTTTAGGGTAGAGGAATGTTAAATAGTAAACGATCATTTGTCGTAGCTGTCAAATATGTTGATGTTTGTCAATAAAGCAAATGTTTTGTCAACCAAACTAACCACACTTGTTGATTATTTGTCAAAAATGACAAAACGGCCAATACGAATGCCCGAGTGAAGTGCCGCGATGACATTTATGCATGTTTTAAAGTTAAAATAGAAACGATTGGACCTTTTGAGATGTTTAAGACTTACCTCTCAATCTCTATCCCGTATGTGGTGGAGTCGGCGTCATCGTGAGCTGGCTGCAGTACCTCAGGGTGTGAGATCACCCCTTCACCGGCGCCCAAGTCCCAGACCAATCGCAACGCTTTCTTCACAACTGATAGCTTCATGTATTTTTCACTTTCCTAGTAAACAAGTACAGAATAAATAAGAAATTAAATGATTTAATTAATAAGAAATAAATGAAAAATTAAAAAGATTCAATTCTTAAATCTGGTATCAAGGGAATTTCAGTTGGTATAAGATTGAGACACACGCCAACGAGTATGGCCTACTTGCAGTAAATTTGCTCAATCTAGAACAAAATCAGATTTAACCCATACAATAATGTCAAATTGACATTGATGTTTTGACATTTTTCTATGGATGACATCTAGTTTTAGTTGAACCGAGATTTAGCAAATTTACTGTAAGTGGGCCTTACTCGTTTGTGTGTCTCAACCCAACAAAAGTCATTTTTTTTGTAGTAAAAGTTTTCTTTAGATTTAAAGTAGTTAAATGCTTAAAATAAAAACGAAATTCCTTGATACATTCGTATATTGAGCCGATTTAAGACATGAATCTTTGTAATTTTTCACTATGAACAACGGCGACGCGGTCGGCAGACGGAGCCGGGTCTGTCAACAAGTATGCGCGCGAACAGCTCACTATCGCGCCCTGTGCCAACGCCATCCTGCCCAAATCTATGAAAGCTTCAAGAATACTTTGTAACTGCATGCTCGGTTGCTTGATGTTGTGTTGTTGACAACTATTCTTTTAAGAAAGTAGTAAAACTGAAGGCCTAGAAATACCACTTACCTGCGTGTCATCAGTGAGTAGGATAAGTGGTCCGTCCCGCACGGTGGCGAAAGACACGGTGACGGTGACGCGGGCGGCGGACGGAGCCGCGTCTGTCAACGAGTATGCGCGCGAACAACCCACCGCTGCGCCCTCCGCTGACGTCAGTGATACCGATATCTGTGCAGATATATCACATTTATAAAACTGATCACTAGTTTATTATAGCACAGCGGTGACACTCTCTGTACGTGAGAGTTCCAGCGTGTGTGTGTGTGAGTGACCTTGAGCAGGAGCGTGTATGCGCTAGGGTTGAACTTGGATTTTAGACTTGTGCCAATGAATATTTATGCATAGTAAGTTATTAAATGTAAACTGATTCAAGGATACTGGGGTAAATAATGAAGGATAGGTTTGATTTTATAATCAATTTTTAATCATTTAATGTAGGTACTATAACAAATTGCTAACTTTTATATATTTTCTCCTTAAACACCAACATAATTGCATTTTGAAATGGCATAAGTGGCAACTTCCCTTGGCAACAGCCGCCAATAGAGTGCACTAAAGTAGTCTCTTTCACTCTTATGCAGATGACATCTCGCACATTAATTTCTTTAAAACTATACTTACTAATGATATGACACGTTTTTCTGGTCTCTAATAGTTCCCGTGTATTTTGTGTACTACCTAAAAACACACACTGCTTTTTGTCAGGAAAATCGTAAAATATTTACATGTTGTAGCAAAGTGTTATATTCTCTTTGGCAAAGTGTAGCCGCGGCGAGAGAGCGTGCCCGACTGAATGTAAGGCAAGGCACGTATGACGTATCTATAACCTTTAAAAAAATCATAGATTATATTCAAAGAAATGAAGTATATTAGATTCAAGCTATTCACAGATATTAAAATCCACATTAATTTATACCTTAAAGGAAACGAGATGAATCTTAATGTCGAGGAGCGGACCAGAAAGGCATGGAAATGGAAACAGTAGAACAAGTTTGAAATTTATGAAGGAATCAAAAAGTGCAAAAAATTGTCAACATTCAAAAAATAAATTAAATTTATGAAAATGCTTTGGACATACTGAACTGCAGTAAAGCTCCAAATATCTCCATTATAGGTGCCCGGTGGCAAATGCGAAATATAACCAAATACAATATCCGGCGAGAAATAAAATGTGAAGTGACAGCAGACTTAGGCAGAGGACGGACAATCTATCTCTGATTTGATCAAGGGTTAAAGCAAACAATTAGTTAGCTACGAATGAAGGTTTTCCGGAATGACGGGTGCCAGGTAGCAGCACTGTCATGAAAGGTCTACTCATACGTGAAGTCACGTGTGTCGTCATAGTCTATGCATCAATTTAAATGCTCGTACGAATAATTCGCTCCGAAAACTTTAAGACATCATATCACAGTGGCGCCAGCTGGTGGCGTAAATATTTCTAAACACCCTCATTGAATCACTTCCAATAATACACATGTAATAGATGATTACTTAGTACAACTGACCGAGTGTGCGGCGTGCTTGGCGCGCGCGACTTTGTCCCTTAACGCTGAGAGCGCAGGGCTGATAGTCCCCTGCGCGGCCGCGTGCTCGCGGGCTCTCGCCGCTGCCGCCGCCGCCAGCGCTTCCGCTAACTCAGACCCGCGCAGTGTGTTGCCACGGATCTGAGACACTGATAGAATAAGCAAAATAAAGAATCTATTGTTAATTTTTTACGCAGAAATTGAGCAAGGTAATGGTTCCACCACCATAAAGTGTCTCACAGACGGACGGGGTGGTGGCTAGTTGTATTCGCTTGCAAAGTAAGAGAGTTTTCAAATACGATCGACCAATAAGGGCCGGCCGCGGTCGCAGGCCGCCTCTGTCTGTGAGCCCTTAGATGATTCTCCGGTGGTCACTGATTAGTGAATAAAAACATATAAACAACAAGTTTATTCATCCCCCATCTATCAATTTTGGTTCTTCAACTCGGATAGAAATGCCTATATTTTTTCTAACTGTAGTGGTAGTAAAAAGAAGTCATGATGTAAACTAAGGCACGCTTTTCCCATTTTTGCTTTTGCAATACGAGACGAGTTACCCTCTCCACGTCGCGTCGCCCTCGCGGCTGTACGACTTGAGGCGACAGCGCAGTTCTGTGATCGTAGGGGTAATGTTTATTTCTTTGGCTAATACTCTGCAGGTCGGCGAGGCTGCGGCGCAGGGAGTAGCGCGCGCGGCGCCGCAGCTCACTGTGAGTGCGGGGTCCGGGTCACTGACCGTGCTCCTGCGCGGCGCCGAGCTGTGTGTCCCCGTGCCTCTGCAGGTCGGCGAGGCTGCGGCGCAGAGAGTAGAGCGCGCGGCGCCTCAGTTCACTGTGAGTGCGGGGTCCGGGTCACTGACCGTGCTCCTGCGCGGCGCCGAGCTGTGTGTCCCCGTGCCTCTGCAGGTCGGCGAGGCTGCGGCGCAGAGAGTAGAGCGCGCGGCGCAGAGAGTAGAGCGCGCGGCGCCTCAGTTCACTGTGAGTGCGGGGTCCGGGTCACTGACCGTGCTCCTGCGCGGCGCCGAGCTGCGTGTCTCCGTGCCGCTGCAGGTCGGCGAGGCTGCGGCGCAGAGAGTATCGCGCGCGACGCCTCAGCTCGGCGGCGTGCTCGTACAGCGCGCGCATGGTGCCGAACACGCGGTCGGCCCGCGCGCCGGCCTCCTGCAGCGCGTCTGAAACGCGCGCGCGTGGTCGAGCGCCCAGTGACCGCTCGCCCCAGCCGAGGGCGCGCAGGGACACGCTGACCACGTCGCCCGCGCGGCTCAGCGACTCGAGGCGGTTGCGCAGTTCTGCGATCAGTATGAGTCATGACTATTTACTTGTTAAGACTATTCTCAGTTTGTCAGTGTGTTTGAAGAAATAACACTAGTTAATTTGCATTTTGAATTTAAAGTAAATGCTTAAATGTATGCCTCAATAGCCTAGTAAATAAGCAGTATAAAAAGGCGTACATTAAACTTCCACTACTTTCTTTTACAGTGCCTTGCCCTTAACAAGACCTCGTGAACAATACCAAAATATTGTATTTATGCAGTTTGATCGATTTTAATGAATTTCAGTATTGAAGGATACTGTTTTTATGGCGAAACTTAAAGTCGAAAGAGATGTAAGGTTGTATGTGAAACCGAATTATTTTACGCAGACGAAACACACATGCTATTGACAAAAGCTATTATTAGGTAGGTACTTAGCAAACGTGAGCACAAATAACTGAGACAATAACTACAAATGTGCAATTAGCAAAAAGTACATGGCGTAATATAAAACCAGTAAAATCATCATTGTTTTATTTTGTATTAATATTCATCTGCATGTGAGCAAAAAAGATAATTTATCTATCTATCTATCAATTAGTACTCACCATCCGATTCTGCGAGAAGGTTAGCAGCCCGCCTCTTGAGTTCAGTAGACGCAGCTATACCAGCAGCGGCGGCTCGAGGCGCGGAGTCTCTAGAAAAGGTTGCAGCAGCGGCGGAGGCAGCTGCGGCTGCAGCGGCGGCGGTGGCGGCTGCGTCGCGGACTCCGCTCGCAACCGAGCCCCACGCGTGAGCTGCTGAAACGCCCAGCGATGCTGCAGACCGCGCCCCCGCGAATACACTATACGAAGATAACACTATGGAAACAAACTAGGGACAAACTTCGCAGGATTATAGGAAGCCTGACTGGTCATTGTCCCCTAAACAAACACTTAAATACAATAGGAGTGACAGACAGCCCCCTATGCAGAGGATGCATGGAGGCAGAAGAAACGCCACAGCATGTCATCATGGAATGCAGGAGCGTGGCCGACCAACGGGCACGACTTCTCCAGTCGCTAGAATCGTTTCCGGAAGCTTGCAGCAGTCTACCAGGGCTGCTTTCCTTCTGGATCAATATAGGCTGGCTGGAGTAAACGGGAATGTTTTTGAGACACGCACAATGGTCCAATAATTAGGACTAAGTGCGGAAACCGCCCTGAAAAACTAAACTAAACTAAACACTATGGCAATTACCATCCAAGCTCGGTAGGTATATTTTAAAAAATCGAGTGTGCTTATGACCACACGACTGAAGTAAAACTTCTTTAGGTCCATCTGTATGTATATATATATAAGTGCGTACAATATATGCGAAAGAGAGAAAAAAATATGCGCGTGCACTGCTTCTTCTTGCTTATATCCCCCACTCAACTCCCCTTCGCCTCGCCCGAACACACTTTTCGTAACGCGTAACGCATTCGCCAGCTTACCCCCCCAAGTTCAGCGTGCGTAAAGAAGTTTCACTTCAAAAACCTAGTGCATTGTTTAAAATTTTAAAATTGGTAAGCAGCGTTCCGAAAATCTATTGTTTCCTTGTTTTTTCAATCTACCAAACTCAAAATGCCAATAATTGGAAGAGGGCCAATGATGAGGTGGTTTCCCCTATTTTGACTTTTTTACCCGACTGCGCACGCAAGCAGCGCGAAGAGCGACGCGTAGTCAGGGTATTTCGTCTTTAGAAAAGGCATGCCTTCTAGGGATGAAACGATACCATCTAGGTATCGATACTTTTACTCGATACTGTATCGGTCAGTAAGTATCGATGTCTACTCGGTATCGCATGAAAAGTATCGATACTTACTTGTATCGATTAATTTTGACGAACGATATTACAATTACAAATTCAGTCACAGTATTGATTTAACGAAAACAAAATAACGGCTCAGACCACGCGATGAACGAATGACTGACTGACTGAATGTAATAAATATTAATCTTACGCAAGGCTGCTAACTGATCAGTAGAAAAGATGCGTTCGCGAAACAAACCTTACTATAGAGTAAATAATATGCCTAAGATTAATTTTGATACTTCTTAGTGAGTGACCGACCGAGTACCGATACAAATACTTACTTCACGATACTACTTGTTACTCAGTTCTAAAGTATCGATGCCAAAAGTACTTGGTATCGAAACAAAAGTATCGAGTAGTTACTTGTATTTACTCGTATCGTTTCATCCCTAATGCCTTCTTCAGCTCTCCCGTCCATTGGGAGAAGAGCGGCAAGGTTATGCGAGGCTCTTCCCCATTCTTCTTATTTTTTATCTCCTATCTCCTCTCAAAGGCATTAGCTAGCGCGTTCAGGGTTCAATTGTGAAAGTTAATAAAATATTATAAGCTAGTACTGGGCCATTCTTTTTCTGTGACTGTGAAGTTTGCCTGTTTGTACCCCAGCAGCGGTAAGCATTACATTAGATGGCTAGGATGATAATAAAAACACGACAGCAATCGGACCAAAACGGGAGTTCGCCACACTAACAATGTAAGCGTAAATAAGAGAGAGACAGAGAGAGAGAGAGAGGGAGAGAGAAACATTTTATAAATGAGGGCTATCGTTTTTTGTCTCACCAGATGGCGCCAGTGTTTAGTGAGGTCCTGAAGTGTAGCTTTTAAAGTTAGTAAACACGCTCGTGATATCAAAGTTTTACATTTTAATACAAAAGAATCGTATCTTAAACATAATCGCCCATGATAGTGTTGCGCAGTCCCGTTTTGTTCGGAAAAAAGGAGGATGTAATATTTTTTTCATCCCACCACCTCGGAAAGTGTAATTTTGCGCTTCGAAATCTGGCTGGAAAATTCTATTTTATTCGCTTGAGCGGCAAAGTAGATTTGAATTTAGAACATCACATATAATGAGTACTCAATATAATTGTAAATTCAAAACGTCATTAAACCTATTTAATGTAACCTCTATGGTGCCAAATTTATGATTAGAACTTTTTAAATTGTGAAAAAATTTAAATTTGGAACCTTCTTGGTTTCTTTGTTTTATTTGCGTGCTTCGCGCCATTCTAGTTTTTCACGTTTTATTGCTTAATATAATTAACATAACCTAAAAACTGTACAAAAAAATCAACTAAAATGAGTGACATTAGCGACGATGAAGTTTATCTAACGCCAACTGAGTTAACTGAAACAGTTAATAATGCGCAAATGAGCCTTCTCCCTCAGCAATCACGAGAGAAGTATTTGAAACAGTACGATATATTTAACATGTGGCGACTAGCTAAAGGAGCAAAAACTTTCTCCGAAAACGTTTTGCTGGCATATTTTATAGAATTATCTGAGACCAAGAAAGCAAGCACGCTATGGAGTACGTATTCAATGCTAAAATTAACAATTAAGATGAAGAAAGACGTTCATATCGACACCTATCATAAATTAGTGGCATTTTTAAAAAGAGCCTCATCTGGTTATAAACCAAAAAAATCGAAGGTTTTCACAGCATCTGAAATTGCAAAGTTTATTAATGAAGCACCTGATTCCGTATATTTAGCGGCAAAAGTAAGTCAATACGTGTAATTTTTTGTTGTTGATAAAATTGTACATAGTACTTACAATATTTTTAATTTGATTAATTTATTTACGATTATAAATACTTCTTTTGTTACAGGTTGTTCTTATTATTGGTATAACCGGAGCATGTCGAACAAATGAACTTACACTACTTAATGTCAATAACGTATCAAAATATTCTCATAATTCTGATGAATTGCTATTAATTAATGTACTAAATACCAAGACAAAAAAAGACCGCAACTTCGTTATTCGCAAGGAATATGTAAACATTGTTCAGAAATATCAAGCTTTACGTCCTTCTAACACCCCAATTGAACGATTTTTTCTACAATATCGCAACGGAAAGTGTATCCGACAACCTATGGGTCAGAATAAAATTGGCAGTATTCCACGAGAAATAGCAACTTTTCTCGGACTTTTAGAACCCCCGTTATACACCGGTCACTGTTTTAGAAGAACCTCAGCCACACTTTTGGCCGAATCAGGGGCTGATCTTCTATCGCTTAAGCGCCATGGAGGCTGGAAGTCTAATTCGGTTGTAGAGGGATACATAGAGGATTCAATCCAAAGTAAATCAAAAATTTGTAATAGTATCGTGGAGGCCATAACGCTGAAAGAACCTCTGTCAGATTCTTGGTCTCGCCCTTCTACATCTAAAATGAGCCCCCATAAGATTGGAAACAATAGCCCTCTCTCGCCAACATTTACGCCAATAGAATCCAATGAATCGGCACAACTATTTAAAATTACTGATACGAGTAGTTTACCACAAAACAGCGCACAATTCACAAACACCAACATAACATTACCTAACAAAAATATTAAACTTAACATAAGTAACTGTAGCAACGTTACATTTAATATTTCTTAATTATTTTCTACTTCTTATTATTTTCTTCAATTTATAGATTATCTTAATGTGTTTTAATTGAAATAAAAATATTTTGTCATTATAAATTGTTTTCTTTTTCATTTTGTCATTTCCTCGCTGAGGTGGGATGAAAAGTTACGTATTGCACTCGAGTGGAAAGATTTTTCACCTTGTGCTCGTTTGTTTCCCTCGCTGACGCTCAGGATTCTAATTTAGAATCACTCGCTGCGCTCGTGATTCAACTTTAGAATCCTTCGCTTGCTCGGTCATCCAAATCGAGCACGCGGTTAAAAAGGAACTTTCCACTCTTGTATAATAAATAACTATTTACAGCTCCGCTTTTAACTAACGGACATTCATTGACACGTAACTCATATTTGCCATAGTAAGTCTGATTTATTACCAAATATTACAACTATTATTTTAATTAGTAAAAAACCCACAAAGCTATAACATTTGACATTTCGGAGACCTCACGCAACACAAGCGCCTCTAGCGGCGGTTTCAGACGCGATAGCCCTCATTGAATAAGCGATGCAATAACCTCTTGTATTGTTTAGCCTTATCACCAAGGTCTGCGACATGTCTCTCCACCGGTTCTAAGTACTTGGTGCGGTACTGAGGCGTCAAGCTGTACAGGATACCCTCCTTCTCCTCAGCGGCCAGAGTCAGCACCTTCAGCTCCGCCGCCATGCTCGGGAAACGTATGGCCAACGACTGAGCTCTTAGCAAAGACGAACCCACTTCGTCCGTCAAGTTTTTTGGTGATAAAGATGTTATGTCCTGCAACACGATAAGATGACAGCTTATGGAGTAAAGCATAAGTGTGGACATTTCTATATAAAAAAAAATGGGTGCGTGTAACTTATGTACGCGCGTGAGAAGTTATACTTCTTTAGCATCATTAAAAATATTTTTTAATTGCATGCAAATAATTAATAATTACAATAAAATAATAAAAGGACTGGAAAAGGATAGTTAACACAGTCAATTAAGTTCAGTTTTAATTTGAAAAATTAAATAAATATTCAAAATAGTCAATTAAAATCACTACTGAATTTAAGTTATTAGTCCATATGTAATTAGCACTTGTAAGTAACTAAAACACGTTGTGTCTATATAGAAACTAGAAATATGTGGATAAATATTATAAATATGAAAACAGTGATCAGAGGCGACGAGCGTGCCAACATTATTTTTGACAACGCGATCATCTTATGGAGCTCCGTGGATCGTTCAAAGTACCTTTCGAACAGATGACATTGAACATTCATAACGCGCCCGCGGCCAACTTCATGGTGTTACTATTGTGTTACAGTGATGCGCGCGCATCTCGAAATTTCACTCACATGATTTTTTCATAACGCGCCCGCGGCCAACTTCATGCTGTTACTTTTGGGTTACAGTGATGCGCGCGCATCTAAAAATTTCACTCTCATCATTTTTTCATAACGCGCCTAAAGAAGTATAACTTCAAAACTTGTTGTATCGCGTTTGATTACTTGAAAATATTAATGATTCGCTAAACTCAATCATATTCAAAGTAAAGAAATCTGAAAGTATTTCAACCGGTCTCTTAATACCACTACCCTTATTTGTTACTGAGTGACAACATTAATTACGACATACGTCAAAGAATTATCGAGGATTGCTGTGATCAAAGAAGTTGGCGTGATTCAAGAATTCACAAGATGTGTTGCAAAATGTACTTCTATACTTTTCTTGATGTTACGGCTTTTTGCTTTTTAAAACAATAGGGATGATGACTTATTTTTTTTCTTCGTTTATCAGGTAGATTATCAAAAAGTATTGGACACGTATTTTTTCTATTTTCACGTAATATAAACATTGCAGAGATATATTGACTTCGAAAGTCGAAATCAAAGTCGAAGACGTCACGTTTTGGTACAATTTTCACTTGAAAGTCACGTCACGTCACGAGCCCCTACTCAACCCCTACTCCCAAACTTTGACGCGCTATAACTTTGTCATTTTTTGGTTGATTGCCCAAAGAAAAAATACGCGTCCATTATTTTTGATCATCTAACTGACGGACTAAATAGAATTTCGTTTACCCCGTCATCACCCCTATTGTAATAAATATGTGATGCGTATTATCAAGCATACCTCTAGCAGCAGTCTACACCGAAGCGCCGTGTCCCTTAAAGCAGACAGTCTCGGTTTCACAGTCTTCCCGACGGCGGCCACCACGTCTCCAGCACCCCACACTATGTTCCCCAGCCGTTGTAGATCCTCCGACTTCCTTTCCCAATGTTCGAGGGCGTTCTTTATCTCAGACACGCGTTTCTGTGTATCTTGCAATCGGTAATCGTACTCTTGCACTGCTGTAGATTGTAATGTTGCCTGTGAATTTGTGAAAATTTACTTGCGAATGAAATTTTACAATGCGAAGAGATGGCGCTGCCTTAAGGCAAGGAAAATTTCGACGCGGCGAATAGGGTCGTGGTAGTATAATGGTCAGTGCATTCGCCCGGATTGCGAAGGGTGCGGGTTCGAGTCCCGTCCGCTGCCTGGTCTGCGTGGATTTTTTTCTAGTAAACTTTTCTTTAGATTTAAACATCTAGCAGTTAAATGCTTAAAAAATAAATAAAAACATAACTATAATTGCTATTTCTTCTTTCAAATGTTTAATACTTGAAAAAGTATCCATTTTACATTGTGGATTACCTACAATGCGAAGAGATGGCGCTGCCTTGCAGCTTAAGGCTAGGAAAATTTCGACGCGGCGAATAGGGCCGTGGTAGCATAATGGTGAGTGCATTCGCCCGGATTGCGAAGCATGCGGGTTCGAGTCCCGTCCGCTGCTTGGTCCGCGTGGATTTTTTTCTAGTAAACTTTTCTTTAGATTTAAACATCTAGCAGTTAAATTCTTAAAAAATAAATAAAAACATAACTATAATTTACTTCCTTCAAACTAAGCTGCAGATTGTTTTAAGGATTTCACAAAAATTCAGACCACTGTCAATTAAAAACAGCTTTTCCATTATGTAGGTATCGTTTATTATGAACACTTACCGAATCGAAAACATCGTTGGCTCCACCTAAGAAATCGGATATTTTAAAGTCTTTTATTTCTCTGAGCAAGTGTTTCGCATCTTTCAGTGCTTTGCGCGCAGACAGATGTTTGTCACCAAAGGTGAATTCTCCCAACTCGATCACTTGTTCACCTAATCGATTCTTCAACCTCAATACTTCCTCCAGCCCACTCATACTTTCTAAGCTCAGATAATGTGCGTGTTTCTCTAAAGTACTGGCTTCACTTTTCAGTTTGTTGGCTTCAGTAAATATTTCGTGTTCCTTTTCTTCCAAATCGTGGATCGTGGGTTTTATGATTCGCGAGTTCATCATGTCTTGGTTGAGAGAGTCTAAGGTAGATCTCGACAAAGACGCATTGTGCGCGAATTCCAGTAATGCTGGGAACGGCTTCGGTATCCGACTCAGCTCGGTGGGATCCGCTCTCGTGCGTAACTCCCGAGTTAATTGTTCTACCGAGTCGAGTAGGGTCTGGGTGCAATTGTCGCATGCTGCAATAAAAAAACAGGGTTATTTTTAGCAAAGGTTTATGAAGACCACAAATGTTTAATCCATGTAAAAGCGATTTCAACATAAATCGGTTGTAAAACGGGTAATCGGATAGGATTTCAAATGTTTTCAGCTTTATTTTCTCACGTGCATCGCCCTGCAGCGTGTTTATAGTGTGAGCTGTGTAGGGCCCGCATACTGAACCCTGCAATCCAGGGGCGCGTGCGGATAGGCATGGCGTCTATAGTGTGAGCTGTGTGGGGACGGCATACTGACCCCTGCAATCCAGGGGCGCGTGCGGATAGGCATGGCGTCTATAGTGTGAGCTGTGTGGGGACGGCATACTGACCCCTGCAATCCAGGGGCGCGTGCGGATAGGCATGGCGTCTATAGTGTGAGCTGTGTGGGGACGGCATACTGACCCCTGCAATCCAGGGGCGCGTGCGGATAGGCATGGCGTCTATAGTGTGAGCTGTGTGGGGACGGCATACTGACCCCTGCAATCCAGGGGCGCGTGCGGATAGGCATGGCGTCTATAGTGTGAGCTGTGTGGGGACGGCATACTGACCCCTGCAATCCAGGGGCGCGTGCGGATAGGCATGGCGTCTATAGTGTGAGCTGTGTGGGGACGGCATACTGACCCCTGCAATCCATGGGCGCGTGCGGATAGGCATGGCGTCTATAGTGTGAGCTGTGTGGGGACGGCATACTGACCCCTGCAATCCAGGGGCGCGTGCGGATAGGCATGGCGTCTCTATAGTGTAAGCTGTGTGGGGACGGCATACTGACCCCTGCAATCCAGGAGCGCGTGCGGATAGGCATGGCGTCTCTATAGTGTGGGCAGTGTGGGGACGGCATTCTGACCCCTGCAATCCAGGGGCGCGTGCGGATAGGCATAGCGTCTCTATAATGTGAGCTGTGTGGGCCTTGCATACTCACCCCTGCAATCCCCGGGCGCATGCAGATAGGCGCGCGGCGACTCTATAGTGTAAGCTGTGTGGGACCCGCATACTGACCCCTGCAGTCCCCGGGCGCGTGTAAATAGGCGCGCGGCGTCTCTATTGTGTAAGCTGTGTGGGGCCCGCATACTGACCCCTGCAGTCCCCGGGCGCGTGCAAATAGGCGCGCGGCGTCTCTATTATGTAAGCTGTGTGGGGCCCGCATACTGACCCCTGCAGTCTCCGGGGTGCGTGCAGACAGGAGCGCGGCGTCCCTATAGTGTGAGCTGTGTGGGGCCCGCATACTGACCCCTGCAATCCACGGGTGCGTGCAGATAGGCGCGCGGCGTCCCCATAGTGTGAGCTGTGGGGGGCCCGCATACTGACCCCTACAGTCCCCGGGTGCGTGCAGATAGGCGCGCGGCGTCTCTATTGTGTAAGCTGTGTGGGGCCCGCATACTGACCCCTGCAGTCCCCGGGCGCGTGCAAATAGGCGCGCGGCGTCTCTATTATGTAAGCTGTGTGGGGCCCGCATACTGACCCCTGCAGTCTCCGGGGTGCGTGCAGACAGGAGCGCGGCGTCCCTATAGTGTGAGCTGTGTGGGGCCCGCATACTGACCCCTGCAATCCACGGGTGCGTGCAGATAGGCGCGCGGCGTCCCCATAGTGTGAGCTGTGGGGGGCCCGCATACTGACCCCTACAGTCCCCGGGTGCGTGCAGATAGGCGCGCGGCGTCTCTATTGTGTAAGCTGTGTGGGGCCCGCATACTGACCCCTGCAGTCCCCGGGCGCGTGCAAATAGGCGCGCGGCGTCCCCATAGTGTGAGCTGTGGGGGGCCCGCATACTGACCCCTACAGTCCCCGGGTGCGTGCAGATAGGCGCGCGGCGTCTCTATTGTGTAAGCTGTGTGGGGCCCGCATACTGACCCCTGCAGTCCACGGGCGCGTGCATATAGGCGCGCGGCGTCCCTATAATGTGAGCTATGTGGGGCCCGCAGGCGCGCGGCGTCCCTATAGTGTGAGCTGTGTGGGACCCGCATACTGACCACTGCAGTCCCCGGACGCGCGCAGATAGGCGCGCGGCGTCTCTATAGTGTGAGCTGTGTGGGGCTCGCATACTGACTCCTGCAGTCCACGGGTGCGTGCAGATAGGCGCGCGGCATCTCTATAGTGTGAGCTGTGTGGGGCTCGCATACTGACCTCGCAATCCCCGGGCGCGTGCAGATAGGCGCGTGGTGTCTCTACAGTGTAAGCTATGTGGGGCCCGCATAATGACCCCTGCAGTCCCCGGGCGCGTGCAGATAGGCGCGCGGCATCTCTATAGTGTGAGCTGTGTGGGGACGGCATACTGACCCCTACAGTCCCCGGGCGCGTGTAGATAGGCGCGCGGCGTCTCTATAGTGTGGGCAGTGTGGGCCCCCATTCTGACCCCTGCAGTCCTCGGGGCGCGTGCATATAAGCGCGCGGCGTCTTTATAGTGTGAGCTGTGTGGGGCCCGCATACTGACCCCTGCAGTCCCCGGGCGCGTGCAGATAGGCGCGCGGCATCTCTATAGTGTGAGCTGTGTGGGGCTCACATACTCACCCCTGCAGTCCCAGGGCGCGTGCATATAGGCGCGCGGCGTCCCTATAGTTGTGAGCTGTGTGGGGCCCGCATACTGACCCCTGCAGTCCCCGGGCGCGTGCAGATAGGCGCGCGGCATCTCTATAGTGTGAGCTGTGATAGGCTCGCATACTGACCCCTGCAGTCCCAGGGCGCGTGCATATAAGCGCGCGGCGTCTTTATAGTGTGAGCTGTGTGGGGCCCGCATACTGACCCCTGCAGTCCCCGGGCGCGTGCAGATAGGCGCGCGGCATCTCTATAGTGTGAGCTGTGTGGGGCTCACATACTCACCCCTGCAGTCCCAGGGCGCGTGCATATAGGCGCGCGGCGTCCCTATAGTTGTGAGCTGTGTGGGGCTCGCATACTTACCCCTGCAGTCTCCGGGCGCATGCAGATAGGCGCGCGGCGCTGCGCATCGGTCGCAGCGCAGGCCCGCAGCGCCGGCGCGGCAGGTGCAGCGCCCCGTTGCATCGCACGCGTCGGTGAGGGCACCGCGCGGGTCGCAGCCGCACTCTACGCACGCGCCGCCACCGCTGCGGTACCAGCCCGACGCGCAACGCTCGCACTCCAACCCCGCGAATCCTGCGACATCAGACAGGACCAAATTGTTAAGGTGGCCAGGTAAACTAATTTAATGTTTTAAATTTATAGTTAGACACAAATCTTCTTTGCACTTGAATATCATTCCTCCATTTTAAAATCATAAATTAAAACAAGTTAATTGGTTATATAACAACAGAGTGATTACAGTGGTTTATAGAATACTAGCTGTGTCCCGCGGTGTTACCCGCGGTTTGTTGGGGACATTTTCCCTCAGTAAAACGTAGCGTTTGTGTTAATCAGGGTGACAGCTAACTCTATACCAAAATCTAATCTTATTAAAATCGCTCCAGCCGTTTAGACGTCAATAAGTAACAAATATACACACTAACATACTCACAAACCTTCGCCTTTATAATATTAGTGTGATATAATACAAAATTATTAGAGTCTGTGCGGAAAGAGAATGGGCGTGGCGTAAAACGGAACCAACATTCAGATTTTTATTTGGCAATCAAACCCAGCAATCTGTAAAACGTCAAAGTTTTGTATTGATACGGATTTGTTTGTTGTTGTGATTTCTTGCGGTTTTTTCTATTTAATCATGATGTCTAAAAGGGGTAAAACCTTACAAAATTTTAATACGGTAGAAAAGCACTACAGCGCCCTCCAATCTAAATCCCATTCTCTTTCCGCACAGACTCTATAACCAAAAGGTCGCTACTCAGTAAACGCTGCAACGTATTGGTCGCTGCACTGATCTTCCGTAGCGCCAGTATGCGTCAGTGCCTCTAGCAGATGTTTTTTTTAATGGACAATACACACACGGGGAATAATTTTATTAGAAAAAATGGGTGCGTGTACTTATGTAGGCGCGTGAGAAGTTATCCTTCTTTGGCATCGTTAAAATTAGTTTTTAATTGCATGCAAATAATTAATTACAATAAATTAATAAAAAGTCTGGAAAAGGACACAGTCAATAAAGTTCAGTTTTAATTTGAAAAAATAAATAAATAATCAAAATATTCAATTAAAATCGCTACTGAATATAATTTATTAGAACATATGTGATTTGCACTTGTATGAAACTCAAACACGTATTCCGAATATACAAACTAGAAACATGTGGATAAATATTATAAATATGAATACCTATAACTGTTACTTTATTACAAAAAATAAAGATGTGGTTTTTGGTTCTACTACACCAATGGTCAAGAGATGGCGCTGTAGTCTCCTGAATCGCGCTTTGGTTCCGTTGTTCCAGATTAAAAAATACTTTTGATAGGCCTTCACAATGCAGTCGTTAGCACCCACTAAATAGGGATTCTATTTCTATTTTGTTGGTAGATTTTCTTAATGTGCGGTAAACACAAAAGTAACGCATGAAATTTTGTGTTACAGTGATGCGCGCGCATCTTAAAATTTCACTCTCATAATTTTTTCATAACGCGCCTAAAGAAGTATAACTTCAAAAATTCCACACGGTCCAAGTTTCACTCAGGTCTCTAACCTGCACCTTCCACTATTCAGGCGGATATTATAAAACTAGTAGTAAAATGTTAAAAATTAAAAGAAAATACACAAACTACTAAGCACTCGTTACAAACATACGACGACCTCCATGGCCGAGTGGTTTGAACGCCGGGTTTCATGGTGTCACCGACTCGAGAGGTCCCGGGTTCGAATCCCGGTGGGGGCAGATGTTTGTGTGATGAATACGAGCATTTGTACTCCAGTCATGGATGTTTAATATGTATTTCTGTATAAATATACTTATATATGTACTGTATAAGTATTCTATCCATTACCCTAGCATCCCATATTACAAACCTTACAGTGCTTACTTTGGGGCTAGGCTAATTGGTGTGTCAGAAATATTTATTTATTTATTATACAATGATTAATAAGTATAATCTCTGTCAAAATAGTCTTAAATTCAGTATTCGATCTGCAAGCGACCACTAGCTATAGTAAATACTTGAATAAAGCCTAATATAAGAATTGCCTTTTGAAGTGTGAGTAAAAACAAAAAATAAAAAAAAATCGTCACTAAATAAATGTTTTAAAAATTCTAACCTGTAAGATTCATACAAGTGTAAGAATTTATAATTTTCACCTTAATAGATTGCTGATTTGACCACACATTTGTACTTGTCACTGTATTACAATGAAGTGTTAAATTTCTATTGCTTTATTTTTATTAATAATTATTAAAATCGCCTTCATGTAAAATTTATTAGAATTTAACAATAATTTGTTTGTTTTTATATTGTTAATTATAAGATATATTAAATAAATATATCTTTGTTATGACCGACTCTCAGTTTCGGTGTCGATGAAAAGTGTTGAAACGATACTACCTCAATCCTCGACCTCAATCTAATATATAAAATTCTCGTGTCGCGGTGTTTGTGGTTAAACTCTTCCGAAACGGCTTTCCGGATTCTCATGAAATTTTGTGTGCATATTGGGTAGGTCTGAGAATCGGACAACATCTATTTTTCATCCCCCTAAATGTTAAGGGTAATCCACCCCTATTTTTTTTTTAAATTTTAAATTTTTTTAATTTTTTTTATGATACTACATACAAAAATACATACAACCCTAAATTTTCACCCTTCTACCACCAACCCCTATTTTTTATGGCGGTACGAAGTTCGCTGGGACAGCTAGTATTCTATAAAAGCACGAACTTGACACCGGAGAGGGCAGTCAGTGCTGAGTTTTTGTGAAATAAAGTGCTGAAAGTTGAACGAGTTTATGTGCAAACCGACCCCCAACTTACATCTGATCTGAGTAGAGATACTGATCTGAGTTTCCACTCACCAGGCTTGCAGAGACATTGAAGTCTACCAGCGTGCATAGTGCAGGCATTGGCGTAGTTCGCAGCCCGCGAGGGACAGGGGCAAGGCTGGCAGCCCCCCGTCCCGCCCGCCCCGGGCCGCCCGTAATGCCCCGCCGCGCATTCTGAACACCGCGGTCCGCCTGTGTTCTCCGTGCAGTTCTGACCATAACAACAATGTAATTTATTAACTTTAAAACTCGATTAATTTTAAAACTCGTTCCAAATATTGTATTAATTACCTTTTAATTATATTGCATGTAATGAAAACAAAATAAAAGAAATGGATAATCACATGCCATATTGAGGTAAAATAGATGAACTGTGTTATATTATATTTAAGAACTTATTGTACTCTATTTTTGGTGATTTAATAAAATTCAATTCAATTCAATAACTACTTCTTAATTTATTTTCTCTCTACTATAGACATAGAGAATAGACTGAGCGTTGTCAGTAAATTAAAGTCAGTGGTCAACGATATTGAATACCCTAGATACACCACGAGTGCTCAAAATGTGTCCCAATCAAGAAGTGCTTGAACTCTACTCAAGCACTTCTTACTTCACAGTCACTTAGTTCGCGCGGACCGTTGAAATATCAAGATGCCGCAGAGATCCGTGAAAAAATGCGAAAAAAATACTAATAGTACGTAGTGTCGTTTTTTCGATAGGTATCTAATCATCACCATCATCAGCTTATTAATGTCCCCACTGCTGGGGCACAGGCCTTCCCTATGAATGGAATAGGCAGATTGAGCCATGACCCACCACGCGGGTCTCAGTGCGGATTGGTGGGTGCTAACGACTGCAGATGCTGCCGCGACCAACAGCTTAACGTTCCTTCCGAAGCACGGAGAAGCTCGAGATAGTAAATTTTTGGTCATCCATCCAATGACCGACTACTGCGAAAGTTGCTTAACTACAACGATCGCAGTCGAACGCGCTAACCACCTGCGCCATTAAGCTCCTCTCGTCACCATGCATTAATGGTGACTTTTAATGTTTAAATAATGCCTTAAATTGTTTTTGATCACGCGATCATCTTACGAAGCTCCGTGGATCGTCCAATGTACCTTTTGGACACGATTTTGTTCGTGTTTTTGTATCTAGGGTATTTAATATTGTTGGCAGGAGCCCACGAAATTAGCTTCCCTCACGGACAGGTAAAGCCCACACTACTTCACTAGTTTGCGGCTGTGACCATGTTTTCTGCAGTCACGGTGTCTTACTAACCCTTCAACCGTTATGTTGGTAGTGCTAGTTTCATCAAGTTTTATTATTTGTATTGCAGGCAGCTGAAATATCATTGAAGATTGTAATCAAATAAGCATGAGTGTTGGGATCGCAAGCAGTACCCCCGCCGTTACAATCACAAGGTCTTGCCACTTACTACACATGTATAACAATTCCAATGTTTACCTTTTCTTCAGAGGACCACGCGCGCTGGCCTACATTGCCATCGACTTACTGTGGCCACTATTCCTACATGAACAAAGAAATTTGGTGACTCATTTCTTTGTCGTCCTATTCGTAAGCGGAATTCTTTGCTCGCGCACGTGTTCCCTCTTTCCTACAATCTGGGGTCCTTTAAGAGAGGTGTGAAAAAGCATTTATGTAGGCCGGCAAGGTGAGGATGGTTGGTGTGACAGTTTATAACTGCTGTACCAGCTATCTTCGCGTTTTGACTTTATCAACACTTAAGATCAGGTGGGGTCGAGTCATTTGCCTACCTGGCTACATAAAAAAATGTGTGCGTGTACTAGTGTACACACGTAAGAAGTGAAACTTCTTTATGGCCTTATTTTTCGAAAAATGATCTACATGCAACTTTCCAGAAATTGGTTAAATAAAGTTAAATTAGATAAAGTTTAAACAAAAGGATTTTATTATCATAGACATGAATACAAATTACTGCCTATGAAACCGTTATGATTACACGGCTCAGTAATCTAAGGCACATGTTCCACCTCCGACGATGAACGATAAGCGAGTAGAAACTAGAAACGAATTGGCAGTCCTGAGCCAAGCCAGCCTAACCGAGCGAGTATAGCTGAGCGAGTATCGCTGAGCTAGTATTGCTGAGCGAGTACCGCTGAGCGAGTACCGCTGAGCGAGTACCGCTGAGCGAGTACCGCTGAGCGAGTACCGCTGAGCGAGTACCGCTGAGCGAGTATCGCTGAGCGAGTATCGCTGAGCGAGTATCGCTATGCGAGTTTGGCTGAGCGAGTCTTATCTTTAATAACTATTGTCACTCAGCTACAAACGAGTAGAGAGAGTTCTCGCCGGCGACAGTGTGATCATTCAGCTATCAACTATTAATATAAAAAAAGATGGCGCGTAACGGAAAAATGTGACGCGTAACCGAAAAATGTGACAGTAAATTTTTTTCCAACGCCGATAAAGAAGTTTCACTTCAAAAATGTTCTAGCGACAGTGTTAACACGTATTGCAGGCGGTGGCATCCAATATCCAGTCACTTTCACTCGGTTAACTAAGAACACTTACCAAACAAGCGCCCGTGTTGGGATCGCAGGCAGTAGCTCTGCCGTTGCAATCACATGGTCTTGCCGTCCCTTCCATGTGTATCACAATAGTTCCAGCGACATTGGAGAAGCGTACAGCAACTGGCGGCATCCAGAATCCAGGAGCGGGCAGTTGGCAGGAAGGCGCGGAGTAAGCGCTTGAACATTCACACATCTCCACGCCTAGCGCGGGCGCCGACCGACTCAGCCCCGGGATGGCTGTGTCCAACGATACATTCAGCAGCCTAGTGGATGAATCGTACGCTGTAGATATTTCAATAGGACCGCGAAAAAGCGTAGATTTCTTTATGAGGGATATGGTTTCGAATTCCGTTGGAATTTAAAACAAATTGGGGGGTAATTAACTTTCACCTTACAGATGCGTCTGATTTCGTAAGCGTCTATAAACTATGGTGGCCATTAGTGAGTTGTAGGAAGGGAGAGGCACAAAAAATACGAAATAGATTCCGAATAAATATAGAAAAGAAACTGATGACTTGTAGATATATTTTCTCAACCTTCATCATCATCATCAGCCCATTAATGACGCCACTGGTGGGGCACAGGCCTTCCCTATGAATGGTATAGGGAGACTGGGCCATGACCCACCACGCGGGCCCAGTGCGGATTGGCGGGTGCTAACGACAGCAGATGCAGTATGCGGCTTACCGTGCCTTCCGAAGCACGGAGGAGCTCGAGATAGAAGATTTTTGGTCGCCCATCCAATGACCGACCACTGCGAAAGTTGTTTAACTTCAACGATCGCAGCCGAACGCGCTAACAACCCGCGCCATCGAGCGCCTCAATCTTATTAAACATTATTTATATTCGTTTTAAGGATAACCCTAAAACTAGGAAAACGCGGCGGCGCGCGGGTAGTGAGCCGTAGTAGCAGCCTGTCAACGCGCTGCAGCGCCGCCTTGAGCCCGCCCCCTTATTGTTATATATCATGATACTGACAGCGCGTGCACGTGGTCGCGGGCCAGCGGCGCGCGGGTAGTGAGCCGCAGCAGCAGCCTGTCGACGCGCTGCAGCGCCGCCATGAGCCCGCCCCCTTATTGTTATATATCATGATACTGGACAGCGCGTGCACGTGGTCGCGGGCCAGCGGCGCGCGGGTAGTGAGCCGCAGCAGCAGCCTGTCGACGCGCTGCAGCGCCGCCATGAGCCCGCCCCCTTATTGTTATATATCATGATACTGACAGCGCGTGCACGTGGTCGCGGGCCAGCGGCGCGCGGGTAGTGAGCCGCAGCAGCAGCCTGTCGACGCGCTGCAGCGCCGCCATGAGCCCGCCCCCTTATTGTTATATATCATGATACTGGACAGCGCGTGCACGTGGTCGCGGGCCAGCGGCGCGCGGGTAGTGAGCCGCAGCAGCAGCCTGTCGACGCGCTGCAGCGCCGCCATGAGCCCGCCCCCTTATTGTTATATATCATGATACTGACAGCGCGTGCACGTGGTCGCGGGCCAGCGGCGCGCGGGTAGTGAGCCGCAGCAGCAGCCTGTCGACGCGCTGCAGCGCCGCCATGAGCCCGCCCCCTTATTGTTATATATCATGATACTGACAGCGCGTGCACGTGGTCGCGGGCCAGCGGCGCGCGGGTAGTGAGCCGCAGCAGCAGCCTGTCGACGCGCTGCAGCGCCGCCATGAGCCCGCCCCCTTATTGTTATATATCATGATACTGACAGCGCGTGCACGTGGTCGCGGGCCAGCGGCGCGCGGGTAGTGAGCCGCAGCAGCAGCCTGTCGACGCGCTGCAGCGCCGCCATGAGCCCGCCCCCTTATTGTTATATATCATGATACTGACAGCGCGTGCACGTGGTCGCGGGCCAGCGGCGCGCGGGTAGTGAGCCGCAGCAGCAGCCTGTCGACGCGCTGCAGCGCCGCCATGAGCCCGCCCCCTTATTGTTATATATCATGATACTGACAGCGCGTGCACGTGGTCGCGGGCCAGCGGCGCGCGGGTAGTGAGCCGCAGCAGCAGCCTGTCGACGCGCTGCAGCGCCGCCATGAGCCCGCCCCCTTATTGTTATATATCATGATACTGACAGCGCGTGCACGTGGTCGCGGGCCAGCGGCGCGCGGGTAGTGAGCCGCAGCAGCAGCCTGTCGACGCGCTGCAGCGCCGCCATGAGCCCCGCCCGCCCCGGCCCCGCTCGTCTCCCCGCCCCAGCCAAGCCGCCCAGTTCCCAGAGGGACTCGTGGAAGCGCACCGTGTGCGTGCCGTTGTTGCCTAATCGACGCTGTTGACGTAAAAAAAATTAAGTTATATATGACAAATCTTGAATAGAACAGGGTTATCAAGGTCATAAATAGTTGCAAATAACTATACTGTAGGTTTCACCTATTCAGCTGTAGACCGTAGCATGCAAATTTATATAAGTTTTTTATCAAATTAATTAATACGATGTCACATAATTGAATGAAAATTACTTAACAGGTCACAAAATAAATAGTCAAAAATATAAAAATTCGATTAAAATCAGGTCATATTAAAAAACGCTTGAACGCTATAGTGCCAATTATAGGTTTGGAGAGGATCATAGACTTATTTTTTTGATTATTTGTGCTAGTTACGACTTCAAAAATGATGGAAATAGTGGCTGTATGCTGACGGTACGTTAGTTAATATCGTTATCTAGACTTGCGGTGCGGTCACGTAGTAAAATATAAATCCCCATAATAATTACTCATAAAGAACTAAACGTGTTAAGTGGTTAAAATCACATAAAAGGCAGTTTTTTACAATATTTAATTTAGACGAAGATAATAACATCGCTTTTTGTTATTTAGGTTTTTATTCTTTCCATGAATAGCTGTTGTGTAACGTTCTGCGTTAATATAGTCCTTAATGAACGATAAGTATGAGAGTATTAGAAATTATAACTTAAATATTCTTTAATTTAAACGTAAGCTGCGTCAAAGGCTACATTTTTATGCTATATCTAATTTAAAATATTAAATCGATAAAATAGTTAGGAAAATCGTGCGCGGTAAACTGAAAGCAAAATCGCTATGATGCGTTGATACCAAGATCTATTTGGTTACGTAAGGGAGGCGTGGCGATCAGCGTTGGCTGCCTGTGAGACAGAACTTTAGTGTACAAGGATTGCTGCTGGTGTGAGGAGATTTTGACGCTGAGGGGTGCCTGAGTAATCCCCAGCTGAACTGCAACGATAGCAAGATTTTGAAAGATAACAGAAATTCGTAGGCTGTATCCGACCTACCTGACGCTACCTACCTGACCTGCAGACAATTAGCAGACGCTGCAGCCAAAGAAGCGGCTGCCAAGAAAACAGCGGCACTTATGAACGTATTCCCGCTATCCCACACTAAGCGCTATCTGAAGGAAAGGACCCTGAGCGCGTGGCAGGAAGACTATGAAACGGCTCCGCAAGGAGCAGTCACGAAGTCGTTCTTCCAAACCATCGCCGAAATAACGGAATTTCGAACAGTTGTCAAACCTTCTTTTTCTGTCACACAAATTCTCTCGGGCCACGGTTACCACAAGGCCTATCTGCACAAATATAAAATAACACCCGATGATTGTTGCCCATGTGATAACCACACTAAACAGGACATCACACACATCTTAAAAGATTGCCCTATATTCCACTGCACCAGAGCTGAATATGAAAATTACTACGGATTATACAAAATTGAACCATACAACATACTGGAAACAATAAAGAGCGAAACAGCCACTTGCAAATTCATCAAACATGTCGACTCAATAATTTCACAACTTAAGCGCATCAATGGTACCTAACTGCCACATTGACTAAAAGCATAAATACATAGCGGCGGTTTTGGATCTGTATCCAATTGCAGAATCAAAACTGACCATGATCACAATTTAAACGTTTACTTCAATATATAAATATATATATTTGTTCCCTTATAAATATACAGAGAACCATATATTTAACATTACACATGAAAAAAAAAAAAAAAAAAACCTGATCTGCAGGATGGATCCCAATAAGGCCTGTTTCTTCTGTTTATCTACCTACCTACTTACGGAGACATGACGGTCACGGAATTATATTGGGAAAATAAAGGATTAGTTCTACAAATAAATCTCTTATTCTGAACCCTCTAACTACCTGCGACCCTAAACCGGCCACAGTGGCGCCCAACGTGGGGCGTTTTCAAAAAAAAAAAATAAGTCTCAATTGTCAAAGAAACATACAAATACAAAGTAAAAATACTTCATTTTAGTAACAACTGGCATAACTACTTCACCTGATAATGGTTCAGCTCGATGCCATTCCCCTCGAGCCTCACGAGAGGGAAGGAAGCCAGTCTTTGCGGGGGCATCTCCTCCCCCCCTTCCTCTTCCACGGTGAACCGCAGCGAGCCGCCGTATGACGTCACTCGGTCCCCCAGGAATCGCTTGTCCAGCTCCACGTATACAGGGATGGGGGGGTACGGTACGGCTATCGTGGAGTCCACTCGTTCTATAGGAATCGCTATCAACGAGTCTTCATCCACCTAGGAATTAGAAGAAACTTGTAAGGGATAGAACTGAAATTAAACTGGAAGTCGATTACCAATAAAAAAACGACGGGTTGGACTCTGGGTGCATTTTTGATATTTTGGAATGGCTAGGGAATATTTTTGCACGAATTTCTTTAATTATCAGTATAAAAGTACTATCATTTATGTGGTAGAATACAATATTTATTTATTGCGCTATCGTACACAAATATGACAATTTATATAATGCATTTTCTTCGCAATAAAGCTGCCACCTAGACGTCCTAGATATAGTCTTATTATTGTAATACGATAAAATAAAATATTACTATGTTTCGCCCAATATATTGAAAGTCAACAACCTTTCCAATTTTATTGTTTTCGTCTTACGATCAGGTCACGTGGCTTGTGATGCAATCAGCCCACGTGACATGACGCGAGTTTAACATTTTTTACCCATACAAAAAACGTGTACAACGCCGCTAAAGAAGTTTTCACTTCAAAATGTGCGAGCTGGTTCTTGATTTTATAAATTTATTGCTTGCGATATAGCTGTTCGATGACTGAACGAGTCCATCTACTTGTTTGCAACTTTGAGCTGTAGTGTAAAGCTAGGATTATTGCTCATTGGCAAAAGCGAAGTGCATGGCCATGGCCGAAGTCGCATCGTGATATTTATTTACTTCACGATGAAACTTCGCTACAAAATTTTACATCGCCCGTGAGGGCGGCACATCCGAAACATGCTGTGCAAGCGCATGGATCTCAGATTTGACGTAAGTGGTTTTTGATAATTTGTTGTGAGTAGATATTAGATTTGACGCGAGTGAGGTGAGGGAGCTCAAAGACACGCCGTGCGAGCGAGTTGATGTGAAATACGACGCGAATATTCTAGTTTGATGCATATCAAACAGCTGAAGGCAGGTGCTGGCGAACAAAACGGTATAATTACATTAAATTGAATTTTACAGGAGCTGTGTAAAACTGAATGACACACCTCTGAGAGCTTTTGGCATGGTTTTTAATTTATAAATTTAGTAATTTTAACACTGTTTTAGGCGGTTTTGATTGAAAATTATTTGAGATTCAAATTCAACGGGCCCGAAACCTCCGGATTGTAAAAAAATGTAGTTTTACCAGATGCGTAATTATACCGTTTTGTTTGCCAGCTACTCATATGTATATAAAGTGCGCTAAAATCAATAAAAAATCTTAAGATTCACCCAGTAGCGGATTTACCCTAATTTTTGTAATTGCAATGTGCCGTGCGAGGGATTGGATGGTAGATATGACGCGAGTGTTGTAGTGCCACGGAGACTCACGGACACGTTCCTAGCGGTCGGTATGGCGGTGACGTGGTGCGTAAGGGCGGCCTGCGTGCAGTGTGAGCGAGTGGATGGTAGATATGACGCGAGTGTTGTAGTGGGAGGAATGCTCACGGACACGTTCCTAGCGGTCGGTATGGCGGTACCGTGGTGCGTGAGGGCGGCCTGCGTGCAGTGTGAGCGAGTGGATGGTAGATATGACGCGAGTGTTGTAGTGCCACGGAGACTCACGGACACATTCCTGGCGGCCGGTATGACGGTGACGTGGTGCGTGAGGGCGGTCTGCGTGCAGTGTGCCGTATGAGCGAGTGGATGGTAGATATGACGCGAATGTTGTAGTGCCATGGAGACTCGCGGACACGTTCCTAGCGGTCGGTATGGCGGTGACGTGGTGCGTGAGGGCGGTCTGCGTGCAGTGTGCCGTATGAGCGAGTGGATGGTAGATATGACGCGAGTGTTGTAGTGCCACGGAGACTCACGGACACGTTCCTAGCGGTCGGTATGGCGGTGACGCGGTGCGTGAGGGTGGTCTGCGTGCAGTGTGCCGTATGAGCGAGTGGATGGTAGATATGACGCGAGTGTTGTAGTGACACGGAGACTCACGGACACGTTCCTAGCGGTAGGTATGGCGGTGACGTGGTGCGTGAGGGCGACCTGCGTGCAGTGTGAGCGAGTGGATGGTAGATATGACGCGAGTGTTGTAGTGTGAGGGAGACTCACGGACACATTCCTAGCGGTCGGTATGGCGGTGACGTGGTGCGTGAGGGCGGTCTGCGTGCAGTGTGAGTAAGTGGATGGTAGATATGACGCGAGTGTTGTAGTGCCATGGAGACTCACGAACACGTTCCTAGCGGTCGGTATGGCGGTGACGTGGTGCATGAGGGCGGCCTGCGTGCAGTGTGAGCGAGTGGATGGTAGATATGACGCGAGTGTTGTAGTGTGAGGGAGACTCACGGACATATTCCTGGCGGCCGGTATGGCGGGGACGTGGTGCGTGAGGGCGGCCTGCGTGCAGTGTGCCGTCTGAGCGAGTGGATGGTAGATATGACACGAGTGTTGTAGTGTGAGGGAGACTCACGGACACATTCCTGGCGGTCGGTATGGCGGGGACGTGGTGCGTGAGGGCGGCCTGCGTGCAGTGTGCCGTATGAGCGAGTGGATGGTAGATATGACGCGAGTGTTGTAGTGCCACGGACACTCACGGACACATTCCTAGCGGTCGGTATGGTGGTGACTTGCTGCGTGAGGGCGGCCTGCGTGCAGTGTGAGCGAGTGGAAGGTAGATATGACGCGAGTGTTGTAGTGTGAGGGAGACTCACGGACACATTCCTGGCGGCCGGTATGACGGTAACCTGGTGCGTGAGGGCGGCCTGCGTGCAGTGTGGGCGAGTGGATGGTAGATATGACACGAGTGTTGTAGTGTGAGGGAGACTCACGGACATATTCCTGGCGGCCGGTATGGCGGGGACGTGGTGCGTGAGGGCGGCCTGCGTGCAGTGTGCCGTATGAGCGAGTGGATGGTAGATATGACACGAGTGTTGTAGTGTGAGGGAGACTCACGGACACATTCCTGGCGGTCGGTATGGCGGGGACGTGGTGCGTGAGGGCGGCCTGCGTGCAGTGTGCCGTATGAGCGAGTGGATGGTAGATATGACGCGAGTGTTGTAGTGCCACGGACACTCACGGACACATTCCTAGCGGTCGGTATGGTGGTGACGTGGTGCGTGAGGGCGGCCTGCGTGCAGTGTGAGCGAGTGGAAGTTAGATATGACGCGAGTGTTGTAGTGTGAGGGAGACTCACGGACACATTCCTGGCGGCCGGTATGACGGTAACCTGGTGCGTGAGGGCGGCCTGCGTGCAGTGTGGGCGAGTGGATGGTAGATATGACACGAGTGTTGTAGTGTGAGGGAGACTCACGGACATATTCCTGGCGGCCGGTATGGCGGGGACGTGGTGCGTGAGGGCGGCCTGCGTGCAGTGTGCCGTATGAGCGAGTGGATGGTAGATATGACACGAGTGTTGTAGTGTGAGGGAGACTCACGGACACATTCCTGGCGGTCGGTATGGCGGGGACGTGGTGCGTGAGGGCGGCCTGCGTGCAGTGTGCCGTATGAGCGAGTGGATGGTAGATATGACGCGAGTGTTGTAGTGCCACGGACACTCACGGACACATTTCTAGCGGTCGGTATGGTGGTGACGTGGTGCGTGAGGGCGGCCTGCGTGCAGTGTGAGCGAGTGGAAGTTAGATATGACGCGAGTGTTGTAGTGTGAGGGAGACTCACGGACACATTCCTGGCGGCCGGTATGACGGTGACGTGGTGCGTGAGGGCGGCCTGCGTGCAGAGTGCCGTATGAGCGAGTGGATGGTAGATATGACGCGAGTGTTGTAGTGCCACGGAGACTCACGGACACATTCCTAGCGGTCGGTATGGCGGTGAAGTGGTGCGTGAGGGCGGTCTGCGTGCAGTGTGAGCGAGTGGATGGTAGATAATGACGCGAGTGTTGTAGTGCCACGGAGACTCACGGACACGTTCCTAGCGGTCGGTATGGCTGTGACATGGTGCGTGAGGGTGGTCTGCCTGCAGTGTACCGTATGAGCGAGTGGATGATCGATATGACGCGAGTATTTCAGTGTGAGGGAGACTCACGGACACATTCCTGGCGGCCGGTATGACGGTGACGTGGTGCGCGCGGGCAGCGTGCAGCGCGGCGCGCGTAAGAGCTGCCTGCGTGCAGTGCGCCGCGCGGCCGAAGCAGAAGCACGCGGTACAGCCGGATGGATTCGCGGCCGACAGACCGAATGTGCCTGAAAGGCACTCGCTGCACTTATCGCCAACTACGTTCTCCTGACGAAGAAAGAAATGCAAAATTAAGGAATTAGATAAAACTCGTTTACTTTAAAATTTTAATTTATTAATGAGGCACATTCACTTCGCATGGTTACAATGTAATGAATCAGATCCCCTTCACATCTGTCAGTTCATTTTGACAGTTAGTGCTGCCGAAAGTTGGAGCTAAACAATAGGGACGTCGGTTACCGATTGAAGTTCGGTTAAACAAAAAATAAACTAGATACGTTGTATTAAACAACTTGATGTCTTCATTTGATACATAAAAATAACCCTAAGGTATTTTTGATTTCACGTCAATTAATCTCTTCTTATTCTAAACAAAAGAGTCTGCATCAAAAATTTAAAAAGATATTAATAGACAGGTACATGACGTATTAAAAATCAAAACTTTTGTGAATACTTACTTATGGGCTACTAACCCTTAGTTATAAGTTATATTGTATACTAACATATGGATCTGTGTTGTCTGACAATAAATTATATTATTATTATTAATATTCCTGAAAGAGACAGACAGTAAAATATCCTTCTTGATAAATAAAACTAGTTTTTACGTTTATTTATTTGACCCTCAATTTGAAACTCAAAATTAAAAAAAAGAATTTGAAATAAAATACTTTATTAAGTAAATTAAATAATAAATTCATACATAGACAATAAAACTTAAAAATCGAACAATGAAATAACCAAACGCTCAATAAAAGTCTTTCGAAGGTAGCTCGACAAATTGAATAAAAGTTTCTTGTTCTCTTATTGGTCTGTGAAAAGTTTTATTCTGACGACGTAGCCTGTAAAGGCTACGAAACGTCAATAAATAAATAAAATATCGTGCATTAACCCGTAAAAACTAGTTTTATTTAATGAGTGATGTGCGTGAAAACCTAAGAAACAAATCCTTCTTGATAACAAAAATTGTTGCTTACTTTGCAAGGACACCTGCCCTCGTCGTCGCAGGAGCACACGCCCTCCTCACAGTCCCTGGTGCCGGCCTCGTCGCACAGACAGGGCCGGCAGCGCGGCCCGAAGTGGCCCGGGGCGCAGCGTTCGCACTCCACCCCAACCCAGCCCGCCTTGCACTTGCACTGCCCCGTTTGCGGGTCACATTGGTCTGGTAAAAAAGGTTTCAATTTAAATTTTACTCTAGCTCTTTGTTGTCAGTTGACTAGATCATGGCATTAAATCCTAGCGTTACAATTTGTAATTCCTTGACGAGGATTTGTAATAAATTTTCAATCTTTAAACAGAAGCGAAAAAGAGCTATTCAACTTTATTCTAATGTATCTTAGGTTATATTTTAACTATTTTTAGCTTGGATTGAAGGAATATATCTGATTAATGTTTTGTATAACCCACGTTGCAATGTGATTAACGTTTTTAAATGTAGTTATATCAATCAGTAGATATTAAAAATTTATAAAGTTTCTTTGACGGATAACCTGAGTAACCTTAATGCTGAAGCTACCATTCCAACGTGAATATAAACATTTGGTTGTTCATTCTCTATTGCTATAAATATATATATATATATATATTCAAAAAAATTGTGTGTGTCAGCTCCGACGCACGACTGGAGTTTACTCCTTAAGTTCGATAGTCTAACCAGACGAACTCGATGGCGCAGGTGGTTAGCGTGTTCGGCTGCGATCGTTGTAGTTAAGCAACTTTCGCAGTGGTCGGTCATTGGATGGGTGACCAAAAATTTCTATCTCGAGTTCCTCCGTGCTTCGGAAGGCACGTTAAGCCGTTGGTTCCGGTTGCATCTGCAGTCATTAGCACCCGCCAATCCGCACTGGGCCCGCGTGGTGGGTCATGGCAGAATCTCCTTATTCCATCCATAGGGAAGGCCTGTGCCCCAGCAGTGGGGACATTAAGAGGCTGATGATGATGAATGAATGATGAGTTAGAAATGCTAAAAATAAAGCAGTTAGTATTAAGGATATTAAAAACAACAAATGATATAATATGAAAAATGGTGTTAGGAACCTAAATATGATTTTTGATTATCTAGACAGTGATGCCCCACTCGACATATTTTGTCAACTTTTTTTTTACTTCGTCACAATATGGCGCCTAATCTTGCCCATATTGAATTTTGATTACTATCATATCTTTAGTAGCACTCCCATGATTGAGACAAATCGATTGATGTATGAATCATCAAAATCGGTCTAGGCGTTTGGTCTCTAGTATGCCACAAAGGAACAAACATACATATATAGACTGTTAAACACATAACCCTGTCTGCGCGTCGCGCTTCGCGCTCTTGCATTGCGCAGCCGGGTAAAAAATAGGGATTTCGCTTCTAGAATATTATGCCCCACATACGGGACGTCCCGGAACGCTAGTACTAACTGGTGACAGCGCCGGGCCCACAGTGGCAGGGGCTGCAGCCACCAGGGCCGTAGTGGTAGCCCGGGGCGCAGTGCTTGCAGCCGGGGCCCCGCGCCCGCGGCGGGCACACGCACCGTCCGCTCTCTGGTGAACATATCTTGCCGTCGGTGCACTTCGGACATGCTGCAAAAAAAAAATATATGGGTGCGTGTACTTAAGTACGCGCGTGAGAAGTTATACTTCTTTTTGGAATTATTAAAAAATAGTTTTTAATTGCATGCAGATAATTAATTACAATAAGATAATAAAAGGATTGGAAAAGGATAGTCAACGCAGTCAATAAAGTTCAGTTTTAATTTGAAAAATTTAATAAATAATCAAAATATTCAATTTAAATCACTACTGAATTTAAGTTATTAGTCCATATGTAATTAGCACTTGTAAGTAACTAAAACACGTTGTGTCTATATAGAAATTAGAAACATGTGGATAAATATTATAAATATGAAAACAGTGATCAGAGGCGACGAGCGTGCCAACATTGTTTTTGACAACGCGATCATCTTATGGAGCTCCGTGGATCGTTCAAAGTACCTTTCGAACAGGTGTCTAATAATGGTGGATTATTATCACATGATTTTTTCATAACGCGCCCGTGGCTAACTTCATTATGTTACTTTTGTGTTACAGTGATGCGCACGCATCTTAAAATTTCACTCTCATAATTTTTTCATAACGCGGCTAAAGAAGTATAACTTCAAAAAATGTGAGCCGTCACGGTACGCTCAGATGTGGAACATCGACATTATTTTGTAAAAGTAATATGCAGAAAAGAACATTGCGATACGAACTAAATATGGAAATTGATAAAATAAAATATTACTATTATGTTTATCGGCCTAATAGTTACTTAAAGTGTGAAGCTAGCATAAATCATGATTAACATAAGTGTCGCCGCTCACGGGCCACACGCCGCAGCCACAAACGCCGCCACGAGAAGCTAGAAGCGGCTACTAAAGTGGCTGAAGCGTGCGACAGCGGCCGACTAAGGCAAGGGAGAGAGGGGTGGGGAATCGCGCGAGTGACGTGTGGCGGCGTTTTGTATCGGTGCATTAAGTGGCCGGTGCGGGCCACAAGAAGCGAGCAACGACGATTTGTAGCGTGTGACGGCCACCGGCGTACCGTGTGTGGCGAGTCCATTTAAAATGTATGAAAACTACAAGAAATATGCCGGTGGCGGCGTTTTGTGGTTGTGGTCGGTGGCCCGTGTGCGGCGACACTAATAACAATATTCAAATATGCGTCGTTAGATTACCGATAAATAAACATAATAAAATAAATAATCATAATGTAAACATTACATTCACAAACTAGTGCCTAAAAATATAACATAAAAGTTGCCTTAGCAATGCATAAATTGCATAGTGTAATTAATATGTTAAGTTTAGATTAAAATTATGAAATCATTTCATGCTAACACTCTTTTAACCTTAACTAAAGAGCATTAAGTGATAAGTCACAAATATAATATCTTTATCAACGAAATATTAATTATAGTGTTGGTGGAATCACGTGGTCTTTCAATCAGATTTATAACAAACTAAAAGCACCTTTGTATTTTAGAATCTGAACTCAAAAATTAGTAAAGTAGGGGCTGCAATGCTAGCGCTTTCGTTGAGGAGCTCGATTGCGTAATTGAGCACTTTCGGCTGTGATCGTTAAAGTTAGGCAACTTTCGCAGTGATCGTTCATTGGATGGGTGACCGAAAAGGAGCTCCTCCGTGCTTCGGAAGGCACGTTTGGCCCGTTGGTCCCGGCTGGGACTACTGCCCAATCTCAATATTCCATCTACAGGGAAGGCCCGTGCCCTAGCTGTGAGGAAATTAATAGGCGGATAAAGTGATGACGACTCACGCAAACATCCAGTGGGTCCGAACCCATAGTAGCCCGGCAGACAGGTGTCGCACTGTGCGCCGCCGACGCCCGCCGCGCATGCGCACGCGCCCGTGAGCGGGTCGCACGCCGCCGCGCCCGCACCGCACTCGCATCGTCTGCAGCCGCCGTGGTGCAGGCCCCAGTAACCTTCCTGAGAAAACAACAACAAACCTTACTAAGAACCGAACAATACAGGGTGTAAAAAAACCTATGACAAATACTTAAACTACGCATTCTGTACACCCAAACAAGTCATATTACAAATATTATAGGTGGGAAAAATTTGTATTTTTAAGTTAAATAAATACTAATACAAAAAGAATGTATAAAACGGCTGTCAAAAACGGCTGTCAGACCCGCCATGCTATATGGCACTGAATGCTGGGCAATGAAAAAGGCTCACGAAAACAAACTGCACGTAAATGAAATGAAGATGTTGCGTTGGTCGGCTGGTGTAACGAGGCTCGATAAGGTACGCAATGAATACATCAGAGGCTCCTTTAAAGTTACTCCCATAGGAGATAAGTTGTCGGAAAGACGTATGCGCTGGTTCGGTCATGTAATGAGAAGGGACGAGGAGTACCCAGTAAAGAAGGCCCTAGCGATCCCAGAAAGGAGAAAAGGCAGAGGGCGCCCCTTAGCTACGTGGTGGACAACCGTATCCAAAGACCTGGAACGAGCTCAGCTGGACACAAAGACAACCCAGGATACACTATCCTGGCGCCTAAAGACGAGGAGAGCCGACCCCAAATGAAGGGATAAGGCAAGGAAGAAGAAGAAGAAGAAATAAATACTAATACATACATTTTTTTCCAGCACGCAATGTATAGCGCGTTGCTTTACTGTGGCGCTACGCAAAGAATGCGCATGTGTGTATGAGTGTGCGTGTGTATAAGTGCATCGATAAAAAAGTTTCTAAATAACGTTTTGAAAATCTTAATGTATAAATCTTGAAAAAAATATTTTGGCTTTGACCTTTCGCTTCAATATCTCCATAACCATAAATTTCCCAGGTATGGTCCAGAAGAAATTAAATGAACGTCATGATGTGAAAAATACATGGCCTTCGACTTCGTTATAGGTTTTTTTTACACCCTGTATATTAATTTGGCCAGAGTTGAAACTTTGAAAGCATCGAATGGACGATGACACTGGTAGTGCGGCCTTTTTTTAACCCAGAGAAAATGCTTCCCGCATACTCCGCCACGCTAAGTATGGGTTTTGTGAAATTCCTTTTCCCTCTTCCAGTCCACCCCCTAAGTCAGCCTATACGCTGCTCGGAATGGGGGCGCCCTAACTAATACAAACTCTGGGAAGTGCTCCTCTTGTAGACCTTTCTTATTGCGAATCAACCACACCATCATCACAGCACCGGTAGACACACTAGACCCTAGAAATATTTGTTTTTGGTAAAAATTTGACAAAGTTTCCATCTGATTTTATCTTGAAATAAGAAATCAACTAGTACCATTTTTCAGTTACAGGTCTATTATATTTTGAAAAACTTTAAAAGCTCACGCTAGTCCAGAAAATTAAAGTTCCATCGACCAACACGGAAGATCCGCAGGCAAATATTGTGACGTAAAATGAATCATGGTGTCAAGTCTTCGCGTATAAATCATGCAAAAATGTACAATCCACAGCCGCGACCGCGCGCATCATGTAAAATTATGCGGGCCCCAGAAATATCCCTGCGAGAACACCATTTATCAAGGTAGATACGATTTATGAAGGGAATCAACCAAGAACTTGAAATCCGAAGGCTAGCAGCGATGTTGGAAGGAATGGTTCGATTCTAGCCAGTGCTTCCTGACAA